TCTCTGGTTACTTAATCTTGATGCTTATTTATCTAAAATAACCTGATTAAAATAAATGATTTGTTATTTCTATTTCATGACATGCTTACAATCATAAAACAAATCACAGAATGGTTTTCATTTTACATTTAAAGAGACATTTTAAATGTTGGTAATTGGATAATAAAATAATACTTCATTGATACGGTAATGTTTTAATAGAAAACAAAATGTAACGAAATGAGATGTTAAAATTTGTTTTAAAAGATCAAATTGAATGGGTATATTGATTTCGCTTTATTAATATGAACATTTACTTGACAATAACGCTTTTTTAATTAATAACGGAATGTGATTGCATAACAAGATAACATCTAGGCACTTGTTTTGTCTAAAAATAATATTTCTCATGCTAAATGTTTTGAAGTATCGACCTTGCGTATTTTAAACATATCGATGTAACATTTCTAAGGTCTTGCGAGGAAACGCCGACACATGCACCTACAACTTATGCCTTCAATATTATTGGTTAAAAACTCTGTAAGCAGATGATGCATTGACAAAGTTATCAGTTTCACTTAAATTATTTGACTCTTTTTTACGTTGAAAAACAACAAAGACAACAATCTGTAATGTTTTGCTCAATTATTCACCAACATGCGTTTATTATTATAATTATTATTGGTCTGACGCACTTGACCATACAATTTGCAAAAACCTGAGAGAACTTTTACATTCCTATTCTTCTTATTTTGAAGAGTGATTATGAAGGAATATACATATGTTAATATGTATTAACGTCTGGAATTGACCTAACCAACAAAGTTACTATTCTACTGGAAAATCAAAGTTTTATATGCTTTGGTAATTAATAATGCACAAATTTGTAATAAGGAAATACATAATTAAACTTTACATAATTTTATAGTACTCAACTGTTGCTAAACACCATGAATTAATTGTTATATTATCACAAGTGTGAAACAGATTTCCTTCCAATATTTGAAAATTCTTATTCAGCAAATGTTTTGAGATAGTCCACTGACATGAATCCGTGTTGACTAATCTGTTACAACTCGTCCAGGTAGCAAGGAAAGCATGCACCCCAATATCTCTATATTTTTAGTGGGTAGTACAAATCACATGTCTTTTGTTATTCGGTGACATCATCGACTTATTTTCACCAAGTGGATAACATTTCTTATATCTGTCACTACGATATGACGAATGTTGACACTAGGCATCATTTCAGAGGATCAGATTTATGGAGGGCTGATGATGCAGCAGCTAGGGGATGGGGGCACCTTCCGCCAGGTTGGTGCGACGCTTGATGTACACCACATCGTCATTACGAGAGCCTGGGGTAGATACCGGTTACATGGTACACCCGCCAGGAGGCATGCTAAAGGTCGGCAAAGGATCACAACACCAGCTCAGGATCGGTTTATATTCGTTCAGGCGCATCTTACAAGGTTTTCGACAGCAATTTCTCTTTGAAATGACCATGTTAATGCTGCGGGCGTCCTAATTTCCACGCAGACAGTATGTAGAAGGTTGCATGAAGGTAATTTGCGGTCGAGAAGAACTTGCATATGTATCCCAAGGACGTGTCGACATCGCCAGGCCCGTTTGAGATGGACCATAGAGCATACACGGTTGACCATGCAACACTTGAGACATGTTCTGTTCACTGATGAGTAGACTTCACAGATCGGCGTGCTAGACTCGTGAACGGTTAAAAGCTGCAAATATTGCTGAGCATGATCGCTACGGAGGTGGGTCAGTTATGGTGTGGGGAGGTATGGGATGGACAATCCGACCTCGTTGTGCGGAATAAAGACACAATGACAGGTCACCGATACATATATTCAGGTTAGGTTATATGCTGGAGCAGTCGGCAATTAGTTCATTGTAATGGACGATAATGCTCGCCCAAATAGGACCAGGGTGGTCCAAGACTACCTAGAGAGGGAGTCTATTGAGCGCATGAACTGGCCAGCTCGCTCACTTGACTGAAATCCAATAGAACATATGTGGAATGAGCTGCAGTTTAAAATTTCAGCTTGTCATCTGCACCCCAGAACCATCCAGGAGCTTTAAGTCATTTTGGTCTAAGAAAAGGCAGCAATACCCGTTTGAACTATCAGAACCCTAATAGGGAGTATGAGAGAGAAGACGATGCCAAGCTGACATTGACAGTAACAGGTCACACACATGGTATTAAAATTAAAACTCTAAAAAATCGTATTTTACAATTTTGGAAAACACGCTGCATGTTCTGAAATCTTCAAAGAGGGGTTGGGGTTATCCTCTTCTCTACAACAAAATCAATGCAAAAATTTATCCTTCGGCTTAATTGATAAAACAGTAAATCAGCATTAAAATTTGTTCGCAAGGCGTTAATAAAATTACCCTAGAAAATATTCACACTCAAACATAAGGTGTTTAGCAAAAATTGAGCACTATATTTTAAATATGTAGTATAATTATATTTAACATGCAAATTTGAAATGCTTGTTAAATTGAAATATTTCCGTTTGTTTTCCAACGTGTTCTTTATTTCGATTTCGAAATACAGTTTGTTTGTTATTACGCAATTTATGAATAATCGCTAATTTAAACCATCTAGATACATCATTTGAAACTTATCATAATGAAACTTATCTTTACGAAAAAAGAATATAGTTACAAAAGATGCAATGCGCTGTTCAGTAGCAAACATAAAATTGAAATGCTCTATGATCAGTTAACGACAATCGGTAGCATTGCTCCATTATAGCTATATAATCATTATTACATGTATAACCTTACATCAAATTCATTATTTCAGTATGAAGTTGTTTTTGCTGCTTTTTTATTTCCAATTTACAACATTAACAAAGTGCCTAGTCCTGGCCAATACTGTCGACATTAATGTGAAAAAATAGCAAGATATTTTAGTTATTTCAATAAGTGGACTATTGCATTTGCAATGTAAATATATTGAATTATGTCTGTGTGCATGATACATCATTTTTACAAGAGGTTTTATTGAGACACGTACAGAAAAGATGATAAATAATTTTAAGAAAAGGTGACAGTTTCCACACACTTAGCGTCATGTTGAGAGCCTCCGATTTGTTATACAGAGATCGCAAGCACAATCATCGGACGAGGCCTAATTTATCCGTAATAATGTGTATCATTGTCATTTGTTTCTTGCCGCTCATTCAGAAATCTTTTAAAATAAGTAATTGGTCACTTACGTAAAAATTGGTAATCAAAGGTTAGTTGTCCAGGATTAGCGGTAAGATTGATATACCACCGAGTTGCAACCAAAAGCATTTGTTGAAAGTGACATAATAATAATAATAATGATAATAATAATAGTAATAATATTAATACTTCTACTAATAATAATACTAATCATCATCATCATCATCATCATCATCATCATAATAATAATTATTATAAGAATAATTATAAGAATTGTAATTAATGAGAAATGAGACGTAAAAAAGGTAAAAATTGCATTATGTCTACCCTAATATTCTACCATGAATTAAACATTTAATTTTGATAAAACATCTAATTATCAAGTAGTTAATCAGGGTTAATTTCCATAGCAACGCAATGTATTTTGATACAACGTAACATCACTCTTATTATGTACATACATTTTACTACTCCAGTCCAATCTCTGCTTTTGAATCAGTTGAATCTGACCGTTTTATATATTTATTGCGTTTGACACTGTATCCAATAAATCACATATTTTGAATATGACCTTTCGGAAGTTTATTCAAAGATAAAAGACTGACAAAAGTTCAGATATACTTATTTCTTTTCTGTAGATCTGATGACGACCGTATATGTTTCGCTTTCTTTATTATTCGGATTCCCCGAGAAAGCTATTTTTAGCCATGCGAACAAACGGGTTTTACATAGGCATTAGAAGTAGCAACAAAATACCGTTATATGTGGTACTTAAACTAATTGTTAATTTTTGTTAGAAAAAACAATGTTTGAAGTACTAGTAATTCTTAACAAATTTGCTTGAAAAAATAGAGTCAATTTTTAATAGGGAAGATTGTTTTGCCAGTTTACATGTCGGCCATACGGACAACGCCATGTTTGTCCTCGAAATCGTGAAAATTACCTTCTCATTATTGGTTTAACCAGGGTTAACATTAGAAACTACATCGTTTTCAAAATAATGAAAGCACGCCGATGATTGGCTGTGTGAAAGCGTACCAGAAATTATTTAGTATTTGGTCACGGTAAGATCTAAAAGCGGAGCGTTATTTAGGGCTGATTTTAATCAGATTGAGATAAAAGGTAAAAATTTACAAAAGTCTAATTAAAAAACTTGAGATTAAAATTATCAGCATCCATAATTATTCATAAAAATATCAACTTCCAACTCAACGTTTGAAAGAGAAAGAGGAAGAAAAAAACCTATTATCTTAACATACTTACAAATAGTGTAGCTGTTAAAGGGAGACACAGGCAAAATTTTCATTTCTTAGTTTTGAATGTTTCATTCATTATTCTGTAAATGTCCTCAAAATTAGTACACTAGACAGTCAAAGGAACAAAACTTTTCTAAATATAAAGAATAAAATGGTGTTTTCCTAACTTGACCCGCGTGGGTCAGGTTAGAGCACTAAGATTTCACATTAGTTGCAACAGTGAACTCTGGAAACGTTAAAGAGCATGTCAAATGTATGACTTAGACTTGTTTCAATCATACAATATCCACAATATCTGTTATTGTATTTTCCAGGGTTTGTTCAAGTCACATGACTTGTTTTAAAACTTTTCGGTGACTCTGTTGGCGTCTAAATTTCGTTTAACATATTTAGATATATTTACACTTCAAACCAAAAATATATATAATTTATAACGAAATTTATGTTGGGACTTTAGAAAAAAGTAATTTTAGTGTGATTTGAATACATAAGATCATTTTAATATTTTTGTCATTATTTTGCCTGAGTATCCCTTTAAGGTACATCTTAACAACTTAGATATTAGATTACAATATAAAATTAATATGTGAGACACGGATCTTCGGTTTATTATTATAGGGTCATTTACCGATTTGTTATTCAGCAGCAAATGTAATATAAAACAATGTGTATATCGAAAATGCAATTTTAGTTTCTTAAAAGTATTGTAGGCATGATATACCGTGTTGTATTGTAGTTGATCATTCATTTTTCAAAATGGAGAAAGAAATCGGGAGCGAAAGGATTCTGACAACAATAAATGCTTTACATGATGCCGCTACCAAAGCCGAGGAATGTTCTCAGTACCTACAGGTAATTTTATCACAATTTTTGGTAACGATATTTCTTTAATTTTACTTCTATAGTAGTGTGTGTGGCGCCGTTATATGTCGAAACGCCGCTAAATGTCGCATTTTCGCTACATGTCGTACCATAGCCGTTAAATATCGCAACAACCGCTAAATCTCGCAAAATCATTTACTGTTTAATGTTCCAATTATAACGTTAAATGTTGCACGATATTTTCATATTTCGCAACATTTGCCGGTTAAATGATTTAATGATTTTTACTTTCTTAAAAAGTTATTGTTCCCGGACTACTTCTCTTATTCTATTAATGCCAATTTAATGAAACTTTACAGGATTGATCGGTAACTCAAGTTCTTGCGCATATAAAACGGCCTATTTTGACCGTGTTGATGTCCTTTGAATAAAAACGTGTTCTCCATGGTAATTATTTAAATCCTGATACAAAGTAGTTGACTTTTATCAGGCGAGAAATGTGATCACTCAAAGCCCTTGGTATGGTTTATGTACATTGTTCTTTAGCAAGAATGAAGAATTGTCTTTTTTTGCAGAATACATCCACGACAATAAAGAAATTGAAGAGTGAAAACGAGCATTTGAGATATCATTTAAGAACAGCTCAATATGAACTTATAACAAAAGAAAGACAATTTCAAGATGCACTCAAAACGGAAAGAGATGCTTTCAACGATATGCAGACACGCCTTTTATAAAGGTAAAAACATCTTTCTCTCATAATATTTCTTTTGCATAACAAATTAAAACAAAAGATTTTCGTGTCAAAATTATTTGCTTGGTTCAATGAATTTACAAGTATCAACAAATTTATTATTCCAGGCAAAAAGAGCTTGAGAAAACAATTAAAGACGTTCAAGATGATATGAAACAAAAAATACAAGTAGATGACATAAGCGATGATAAACGGCCAACAAAAGTCGCAGAAAGATACCTGGATTTGTATGACATTGAATGGACAGATGCATATGAAGAAATTGAAAAGGACTTTAAAACGGAAGAAAAAATAACGCAAGAGTTATTGCGCATTCTGAAGGTATCAACCTTTGTCAAATATTAAAGTACATTCCTAATTTGATATTATTTCAATTCAATATTCTATTTCCTTCAAAATATATAAGAATACAGTCAAAGTTTTATGTAGTCATAAGCCTTGGGGACACAATAATTCTATTTACAGAAAATCATGGAGTTCTGTACATATGTGGCAAAGCAACAAGACGTCAACGTACATAACGCATTGCTTATGAACAACAAAGAGGTAGGTCGTTGTAAAGATTTATTGACTGTTCCTTATACTATTTTTATTTAGTTAGTCCTCTTTAAAATTAATCTGAAGCGAACACGTTTGCATGTTAATGTTTATTGTTTCATAGTTTAAAAACACCATAAAATATGCAATGTGTTTTAACATTATCTTGATCGTAAATTTGAAGTTTATTAAAGAATACAACTGTTGTCTTTTAAAATAATAATAAGGTTGAAAATATATGCAAATAAAATATTGGGATAGTTTTTAAATAAGAAGAACAATAATTTATTGCTTAAAAGCGACTTTTTAAATATTTTTGCAGACTTTGATGAAATATACGTGCAGCCAATACAAATAAATAAAACTGGAAGCTACACATTAAATATTTAATACATTTTCCGTTATTAGTAAGCCTTTTTATATGTTTCATATAAGACTGATAATGGTCTATTAAAAGAAGCACGCAAACAACTTTCTTCTTGCAAGAAACGCATTTCCCAAGGAATATGTGAGGACATTTACAAGGTAATAGTTATTTTGCATCACAACTTTGATTTCGTAACGACCAAACAAGCTTTGAATCTATGTGATGTATCACAGATACGTATTGTGTTTATAAAATATCATTTTAACATTGCATATTAAGAAAAAAATGTTTAAGAGTTTAAAGATAGTGTTACAATAAAAGTTATTTGTTAGTTATTATCCCTGTAAAATAGGCATCCGGCCAAAAATGCAACAAAATACAACAAACATGAACATTCAAATGAAATACAATCAGGTGGTCATACATATACAGGCACTATTATAATATAAGCATTAACAGTAAGTTACATTGTAAGAGATATATCGAAATTTATGAAAATTGTAATAAAACACAAATGTTTGAATAGCACTTTTTATTTTGGTCAGCTTTACATTTCGAAACTTCAACAATCAACCTCATCAGGCTGTATCCGAGAACTTAGGATAACAACCTTTATTAAAGCATGTATTTCTGTCTGTTGGATGTGCCTGGTAAGAATTTTCAACATGATTTTAATGATCTATCACTGACAGTTTTTACTTGTTGTGGCTGCAAAAGGAAAAACAGATTTGCATATCATTTACACTTAAATACAACTGGTATATCGTATTTCATCGCATATGTACCTAGCATATTCTTTACACTTGCTATGCCAAATTTGCAAAATACTGAAGAATTTCTGTTTCTTTTTAATTATCAGTGCATAAAACATGAACTGGTTTTTCTGATAAAAAAAGCCAAAGAACAATTCCTCCGCCTTACTTATTTAACTTTCGTTTTCATCCGAGCTCCGACCATATTATAATAACAGTAACTGAACATGAATTGACACAAGCCCATCATAAATTATATCTATTCTTCAATTAAATTAAATGGATAAAATGATTTAAAACTGCTTAAGATGTAATTGTTGCTTTCTTAGTGTTATACCATGATAGTTTCCATCGTCAAAAATAAATTGCTTTCTGATCTTACAATGCCAGTTTGGTCGTTATCCTGCCAGGTCGCTCATTTAAGATAACTTATCGAAACTTACCTATTTAAATTTGTATTGAAGATAGTTGTGTTGCCGGTGTCAGGATCAAGTAGAATATTATTATTTCAGATTCAATTTCCGCCAATGAAGATGGAGTTTGATGTAAAAGCTCACAGAAAAGAATTCAAGGAAGACATGTATATACCATACACCATGTGTGGCAAAAAAATGGATTTTATTGTTTGGCCTGTACTTCTTCTTTATGAAAATGGACCGGTAGTTGCAAAAGGTATCGCTCAAGGCCTCAAAGAATGCAGAAATCGACGGTTTTATGAAATAGAGCATAGAAGGACCTCTTCGCCGCACAGAATGGGGGTAACTAAAAGCCAGAGCGACTTAGCCAAAGAACCAAAGAAGGGTATCAGACAATTGTTTCAAAAGTTTCATCCACAGCAAAGAAGTAGGAGCAATAGTATTGGTTCATTTTTTTCTTAATATACACAACGCACATCCATTTTTAATAATAATAATAATGATAATAATAATAATAATAATTATAATAATAATAAAAGATTAAATAATAATAAACAAATCATGTAAAATTCCTATATCAGATATATTTTAATATAGCTATTTGTTGTTTCTAGCAATTTTACCAATCAAATTATATCTGTGAAGGTAACTTATTTAGCCGCCTCCGTTGTCGAGGGGTTAGAGTCGATGACTTCTTATCCAGTTACCTCTCTGGCGTGGGTTCGATCTCCGGGAGATGCTTTGGTAGTTTAGCACGGAGGAAGGTAGTCTAGTACTGGTGTAACTCTCCAGGAACGATGGTTAGGAAACTACCCGCCTATATGACTGTAATACTGTTGGGAAAAGGCGTAAAATGAAACAAACAAACAAACAAAGCAAACTATATACACATATAAAATACAAATAACATTCTAGAAACTTTACCAACCATTGATTATAGTTTATTATTGTAAATACAAGTGAAATAAAGCATGTGTCAATTTTTATGACAGTATTTTTCTGTTTCCTAGTTGTTCAATATCAATATATTATTCACTGTTGAAATTACGTAGAACGGTGTTCGTCGTTTTAGACTCTGGAAATCACCATTCAGCAATTAATTTGTATAATCATTGGTCATAGGTAACCTTTATTTTTATAAATCCTTCTCAAGCAAAATATGTATTATTTGTTAGTTTATCAGTGTAATTAAACTTCCTGTTTTAATGATTTGAGAAAAATGTCTCGAATGTCCCTCTTAAATCGCCAAACGTAATGATCTTATCTGTTACTTAGTTATGCAAGAACTACATGTAAAGGTGAATTTACCGTCACCTTAATAATTCGAAAAATATGTGATCTGATGCCAAATTTGAGCTCGATCCATATTTCATTATGTCTATTTATGTGTACCAATGATAGGTACAATGAATTAACTTGTTAAAAGAGTAAAAACATCTGCTAATAATTATCTTGGTACAAAAAAGGGAATAAAAAAGGGAGATAACTAAGTAAAATTGTCTTCTGAAGCCATTTTGAATAAACAAGGACTGAATTACACCTAAACATAAAACACACAGTTGCTTTGTGATATTGCGGATATGATATTTTATTATAAAATCATAGTCCCCACCAAAATGAAAAAAAAACGAAACAAAAACAAAAAAACAACCAAATAAATAAATAAATACAGCATAAAGATGTTACCGTCCAAATGAATAAAATTGTTTAATATGGAGCTACCGATGACTGGCTTTAGAAATATTTGCTTTTCAGTACAATTATGTGTTGAAATCAACAAAACGCGTTACCTCCCTTTCACCATGATTCCGCCGTTAAAGTTCTCCTAATAGCTACTAAAAGCAACTGTTGTAAAGTCAAAATAATTAAAAACATATAATTAATTGATTTTCTACGTCCAAAGCAATGTTTCAAAAATTATTGATATCCCTCCATTCTTATTTGACCTCCTAACACACATACATTTTGAAAAAAATCTTATCACAACATTTTATACTGTCATCGTGTATGCAAAATAGTAACAAATGTTTGCCAGTAAAATTTAGTATTACAATCCAATGTAAATTATCAATTGTCTACTAGAAATTACATAGCTTGTTATACTATGTAAGGTTATGTAAGGTTATGTTGGTATAATTAACCTGTGAACTATTATATGCTGATGGAATGACTCTGTTTCATTACTTCAGTATACACGAATTGAATCTGTGTTACTAACAATGAGCTGTAGAGTGTCCCAAATTTATATCGGGCAATGTTTAAACCAACTTAAATAGTTTGTGATATTTACATGTATAAAGTTTAAGGTGTTCTTCGAGCAAACGAAATCAAAAACAAGTAGGAATCAATTGCTTAATTGTCTCCCGTTTCCTCCTGTTATAAAAGAAAAACACTCACTTTACAGTTTAGTATAAAAAATTACCAAAGAATACGTTTTTACCTTAAAACCAAGTATTACAAAGAAAAACATGACGTTAATGGTAACTGATATGAGTGTTGTTATTTACTAAGTATAAGCAACAACAACAACACAATTGCAGAAATCACGTTTTTATTGAAAATAACATACCTTTCAGTTAAATTGTAAAGAATAACAGGTTTCAATCATTCCATAAATGTTTCATAATAAACCTAATAGATACACAATATTGGGATACGCATTGATATAATGGTGTGATAAACAATACAAATCATAGCAAAATCTGCATCAGTAATACTAATATAGTTAATCAAATCTTATTTGTTCAATGGTTTCAATAAACAAAATATTTTTTGCCACTGTTTTGTAAGGTATTTTAGTATCGAACAAACACTATTTACGGCATTACTGCGAGAATGCGTGGATGCGACTTTTAACTTGAATAATTATGAACTAATTATATAGGGGTTATTCAACTCCATTAACCTTTGTAACAATAAAAACTATTAATGAAAAAGACAGATTATGTTTATGCACACGCAAATTATTCCGTTTAATAAATGAACAACACCTAAAAGGATAAAAAACTATAAGATGCAGGCTTAAATATAAGAACAATAGATACAAAATATAAAAAGACAATTCTTAAGACAAGTGGAATATATATTCCAACTATTACTTACTGTTACAAAACTGTAAACATTTATTAAAATACGCATACAATACGTTGCGCTTTTTCTCTTATTCTAATTAAGTCCAAAGATACCGGTATTAAAATAAATCTACATTAATTTTGTAGATAACTGACAGCGGATGTTCACTCTTCGACTTTAAAATTCTGCAATTCGACAAACCTAATCAACGCTTTTTTCTTTGATTTGTACAAATAACATAGTTTGTGTGATACTCGAAGCAATTTGTAAAATACACAATTATCCGATAATATGTGAGAAGGTATTCTCATATACGCATGGATAATAGATGTATAAATATGATAATTTATTTTTATAAAATAGATAAATAGATAAAAAACATACCGCAGAATATACCAAATATAAACGCTACAATAAAGAAAACGATGATGACTAACTATTCAGAAAAATAGAAATATAACCCCTCCATTGAGGTCATGAGTAGTACGATTGGCGATATTTGTGAATATCAAACATAACTAATAAAATATAAACGAAATACGAAAAAGATCTTTAAAAAAAACTGTTAAGCTGTCATACAAATTCATGAAGCAGCTTTCTTGCCACAACCCTGTGCCACACCTTTTGCAAGTATCGGACCACCTTCGTGTAATAAAAGGGGAGGCCACACAGCGTAATCAACTTTTGGTCCACTGATTGTGTACGGTTTGTAGTAGTCGTTGTTAAAATTTTCACCCCTACTAAGCAAAGGAGCAAAGACAACAGGTGGGTCTTGTATCTGTAGTTTTGAGAAAATAAAAAAAATAAAGATTATAATACAGAATTATGTCGTGCATATAGTATTTTTATTGCACCATCTAGATTTAATATCAAAACGAAAAGTGTACTCAAACTTCACATCTGATCAAATAAAAATCATGGCAAATATTAATATAAAATGAAATATTATTTATGTAGACAATAATTGTTTTCAAATTTTATGGTGTTTATGGAATTAAAAATTCAGTGTGTTACTGAGAAATCATTTGAAAGGACCTTTTAAATTCACGAATAATACAAATGCAAACAGTATTTTTCATTCTGGTTGTACAAATACATAATTACTTACCACCATAAACCAACATATCTCCACACATTCTGCTGTGAATTTACCGACTTTAAGAGCTGCCTTTACTTGTTTATTTGGACATTGTTCTAGATGCGACTGGTACATCTGATAAAATAATTGCCTCACATATAATTCTTTATTAAGAATTGACATAATAATCCGCTTCACAATTGTTTATTTTATACCTCTTTAGCAGAATATTTACTAATATACATGTACTTAACTTTCACTCACTACTAGTTTCATGACGACGGGTTTTTCAAATTCCGTGAGTACTATTGTTTATTGCTGATAGGAAAACTATAAAGCTAGGCCATGGACGAGTGGTGGATATACTCGAGTGCTCATCCGTGTCTTAAATAATGCAACGAGAGGAACCTTAAATGTAAACTAATGGAGCAGGATAATTCTCTTCTTACTGGCAATACTCGGTCGGATCAGAACCTTTAAACTACATCTAAATATAAAAATGATACAAGCAGTGCTTTTCAGTGATTTTCATTACATGAACATATTTATTTAGTGGTTGTTGAGTTGTGAGCAAATTCGTATGATTTAGATTTAAGCATTTGTTTCAAGAATATAAAACTGCAGGATAATAATTAAATGCAGATTAGTCTCTGCAACTTTACCCTTTGCAAATTTCCCACGGTAGTCAATCCAACGACCTTTCTACACTCCTTCAGAAGTTTTCGCACATCGACTGTTATATCTCCTTTGTCCTGGGGGAAAACAGTGTTTTTTTATTTTAAAATATATTGTAACTTAGTAATTATATAGACAAGTCGTTCTCGACACGAAATATGACTGTATAAGTGTAATCATAATTATGAAAGAGAACAACAACAACAACAACAACAACAACAAAAAAAGCATATTTTACAAAGTTTGTTAATAGCTATTAAATACGCATAAGAATGATAAATGGTATTATTTTCATATTTATTAAGATAATTACATACATCTCTGCCGGCCAGTTTGAGCTCTAAGCCCAAGTTCTTCATTTGTGTGTTTGCCTTTTCCCAACAAAATGTCATAATATCCTGTGGTAGACAAAAAATTGACATGTTTTAACAAATTAAAAGTGAAACATTTGAAAAATTCAATTTTAGAATCACATAACACAGTTACTTATAAATACTCATTCTGTAAACACAAAAGAAACATTATAATATTTATGATAAATGTTTTGAAGTATAATTATATCAACTCAAACTTTATTCACATGCCTATCCTTTACTATTTACTAATCGCTACCTGCAAAATCTGCAGCAATGCTTCAATAACATATTCTTCGTTTTGATAATGTTTTTCTAAAACGTCAAATGCATCTGTCCATTGATTGTCATACAGCTCAGCAAACTTCTCAGCCAGTTTTGTCGGCCGATTTCTGTCACTTAGATCGGCGATGTTGGGATTATTGTCTGTTAATCTATCGCCCATTGTTTTACTCAGTCTTTACAAAATAAAAAGCAGCAACAGAGTTATTGCCCTTGATTAGTTATGTAGTATACATGTAGAACAACAATCGTTTCCGCGCTACGTCTTTGCAACTACTGGCTATAATAATAATAATAATAATAATCATAATCATAATCATAATAATAATAGTAGTAATAAAAAAGAAATTCCGTCCAATTGTTGGATTGTTATTTAATAAAAGATATCGACATATGCAAATCAGAGCTGTTTTATCACGTAGAACTTATAAATAGACTTGCCTTTTCAATACACAATATCAATTTTATTTTATGTTTTTTAGATTTATTTTGCAAAACTGTTTACCTCGTTTTTGTTTCAGCGAGTTCAATTTCAGTTTCTTGTAGTTTTCGTAATGCATGTTCAAGTTCCTCCTTCAATCTTGCCATTTTCTTCCTCAGGTCCATTTCAGCCTTTTCTTCATCTGTAGTGTTCCCAATCTTCCTGCTTTGCCTATATTTTTCAGGATTAATAGTTTGTTCTTTCCTTAGGTGCTGTTCATTTTGTAACTGCTGAATCTTTTTCTTTTGCATTTCGTTTTCCTTAATTAGTTTACTTTCTCTTTTGCTTACTTGCCTTAAAACTCCTTGTTGTACCTCAGCCTGTTCATAGATTTGCATTTGCAGTTTTTCTCCATCTTTGATCTTTTTCTGTAATTTTTCACACCTTTTATTCAGTTCATTGTTTTTAATTTTGTAACTTTCAATATGTTTCTTAAATTGAGCCAACTCCGATTTTAAAGCCATTAAGTCGCTATTTTTATTTTCTAACGTCCGTGATGTTTCTTGCAGTCTTTGCTCAAGTTCAGATATTTGTGTAGTTTTTCCATGACACTCAGCCTTCTGTCTCAATGTGTAATTTACATTTTCACCCTCATTTCTATCTTTATATGCAGCTTTCAACGATTTTTTGTGTGCGTTGTCATTTACTAAAATGGCACGTGTCTTCCGTTTGTCAGTTGATGCAGACTTGTTACCAGGTGAAGTATTTTTATATCTATTAAATTTCCTTTCAAGAGCTTCATTTTTTTCAGTGTATACTCTGATACTATTTTCAAGATCGAGCTTTTCTTTTTTTAGTGATGACAAAGCTCTTTCATATTCAGTTTTCATCTTTTGTTGCTCTCTCCGAAAATTACAAACTTTCATTTTTTCTTGGGATAACTGGTTTTCTTTCACTCTACGGCGTTCAATTTCAGAATCAATTCTTTTTCTTAATAATATCTCCCTGTCAGATATGTTCATTTCTGTGTTATGATTTAATTGAGTTTTCCCTTTAATTGCCGAATGGGTATGAAAATCAAACCTACCTGCCACTTTTCTTTTAAGATTTGCATTTCTTTCCTTTAACTGATCCCTTTCATCAAGTGTTGCCCTTACTTGATCTTGGATTCTTTTGATTTTTAGCCGGAGATTTTCGTTTTTCAATTTTGATTTTTCTAAATCCCTCCCGATTATTTCGATATGACCATTTAAGTGACTTATCATTTTCTGTTTCTTGTCTTCCTCGCCTTTAAGAAGTGATATTTCTTCTTCATTACGTTTACACTGAGTTTTCAATTGGTGTAATAGCTCATATGTATCTACTTCAAATAGCTCAAATCCTAATGATAACCATTCATCAAAGTCCGACATCAAATTTCTTGGAGTTCTTTTACCATGATTATAAAAGCCGAACCCTTCGAATTCAAAGTCGTCATGACGAACTAATTTGTTCTCTTGGTGCGGATAGTATATATCGCTCTCAAATACTTCATTTTCAATATCCCTCACTTTTCGCTTCAGCAGTGGTATAAGCTCTTCACATTTTCGTCTCAGCAGAGTTATCTTTTCTTTGTACTATAATTCATAAAAATGTTTCACACATTATATTATTATATATAGTTTTTAAATGTTTTTCGGACTCAAGAAATTAATGGCCTTTGTTGCTGGAAAAACGGAGGTTCGGCGTTCGCGTTAATTGCCTATACATGTATTTAGTATCTGCTGTCTATGCTTATGAGTAAAAGATACATATTTGTAAGATTCCACTAAAGCAGATCAGACAAAAATGAAGCGCGCACTTACGTTGACAACTACACTTTCCAGGTTCATAAAACATCATCAACACTAAAAGAACATGTAAAACGACAAATAATCTACTAAAAGAAAATATTCATGATTAAATTACACAATAATTGAATTGATGATTATACTTATGATAATAATGAAATCTAATAATTATTTTGTTTAATCAGTTTAATTAATATGCAGTTTTAGACAAAAAAGACGAGCTACATTTAAGACAAAAATCAATCTACAAATCTACACGTACCTCTTTTACACCTCTTTCATAGTGGTGAACTGTATAAGAAATGCCTTGCTCTGTTAGCCCTTGACTTCTTCTAGAAACAGTTCTTATTCGCCCATTCCCATACTCAAGTGGTCTATGGAAATCCATATTAATTTTGACCAACAACTTATTCCCGTAAGCAAGTAGTATTGCTTAACTTATACAAGTTTGCTTTCGTTCATACCTCTATCGTCTGAAATATTAATCATATAACCAGAAATTAAAAGTAAATTATTCAAAATGTTTTACTATGCGTTAATAAATTGATTGAATATTAGTTCATTCCCTGAATACGATCCAGTCGACATACTAGTGTAGCGATTGTAATACCAAATTACCATTAAATCCATTGAATTCTAAATTCATTGTATAAGTAAACAATAAAATAACTGTTTAAAAGGCATTATCAAAAATTTGAAATGCATTGTAATCCAATAACAAACACAACGGAATAAATGTTAATTCAGCTTTAACGTACGTTGTTGCTTAAATATCCCAGATTTGATATATAACGCGGGCATATGTTTAAACGAACTAAATAAAGTTTATTTCTTAAAACATGGAAGAATATTTGAAATTTGCTGACATATGTTAAAATGTACTTACAATTTACATAATTGCACCTTGATATTTTTCGAAATTCACGGCAATGTTAATTAACTTCCTTTTCCAACTAATTTATTGATTGTAAGGTACTCGTTGTTTATGCAGACATTCACTGTGTATTTAATCGATTTAATCGATTTCTATACGGCGTTGGGTGTAATATCTGTCAAAGTTAACAAATTATAGGTGTCTTCTATAATTTTAGTAATCTATGTTTATAAGGTGTACAAGTAATGTAAGATACTTCAATAAACTGCTAATACACTAGCGAAGGAACTGTTCTGATAACCTGTCACATTCTTATAGTTACTTTTATTTTTACGTCGATATACCATTTTTATACTCATGTGGGTGATTGATCCACATATCCGACTTTCTTGGATAACTAATTGATAACATAACCAGTAATAACAAATATCACAGCAAGTGGCTGACTTCCTATCCCACATGAATTCTGAATCAGAGGCGAAAGACAAACGACCATAAAACTCAATGTCCGATAACAACTGTCATAGAAAACCAGCGACCCCTTGATTACAGATCCGATGACCATCCTATTGGCTGGTGGAATTCTATAATTTTGTCAAAAGGAATGTAATATCAAATTTACCTTTTATGATATGCATTGTTATAAAAGCCGAATTCTGTAACTCTACTTTAAAAGGTTATAAATTATTCAAAATGAAATTGTTTGCTTGCGAAGGATTTCCAAATATAAATGCATCTGGAACATTATATTGTACAATATGCGGAAACACGATGGAATGAAGGTTATATGGTAAATATACATGGTAGCTTTACATTGATACCGCATTCACTAAAATATATTCACTTTAGCTGTGTTCATAGCTCGCAAAGAGAGTAGAAGTGTATGTCATTGAAATACGGTCTTATATTAAGAATCGTTGTATCCTTGGAATAGGGTTTAAACACATTTTTGTATGAAATCTGTTATATATATGACCAAAATGAAATGTCGTTTACATCAATTATCCGTTGCTAAATAAACTTAAATACTGGAAATGCACCACAGGCCCGTCGGCCTAAAACATAAATAAAACATTTATAAAACATAAACGTAAATACTAATGCAAAATACACCATATTTGGAATCTCATTTGGAGCAGCTGATACCATTTTCAAACGTAATTTGAAATGAGAAAGATCCGTGCTAGTTGATTTCCCATTTGATGACATAAGAGCAGAAAAGGCTCATGTGCAATGCGCTAAGCTGTTGCTTTAACAGTATCAAAGTTACAATACACGGCCTACCTGGTGACGAAACATGTGCTCCTTTTTATAAGCCTAAACAAAGACACCAAAACAAGATTTGGCGTACAAAATTTGGCAAAAAATAATGCATTGAAAGAAGGACCTTCAATATAAAGAAGATAGTTAAGGGTCCCAACATTCCGTTTGCTGGTCCCAAAGGGAAATCTGTAAAAATGTATAATAATTGTGAATCTTTTCGAGACAAATGTGCTTGGGAAACTAAACACATTGGTCTATAGTACAATACTTTCTGAAGCAGAAAAAGTCGTTGTGCTTACAAAATCCTTCGTATCCACCTGACGTTCCATCTTTTGACTCTAAAAATATACCTTTAAGGCCGAAAATGTTCAGCGCGAACTCCTCGGTTCTGCAATATTCCACGGTATATAAATAAACTACATTTGTACTCAAAAATAAATTTTTATATGACATGAGACAACGATTTTTAATGCAAAGTCATATATTCATTTGATACCAATATTTATGTACGGTCAGTCTTTTTTACTTACTTACTATAAAGAGAAAATTGATAAGATGTAACGAATGGACCAGCAAATAATTTAGGTACTAATGCATCTTGTAAATAGACTAATTGCCAAAAGGATTTATTTGACAGTATTTATAACGACAGAGAAATTTTCTTTTATTCTAGTATACATTAAATGCAAAATGTATCCACAGAAAAGTACAGGAAATCGTCCAAGTATAACCCCAAGTATAAAATATATGCTTTACAGCTGTCAGCACATTGTCACGCGTGTGTTTTCTTTTTACCATAGCCTTTTCTTATTAGCTAAACAGAAAAAAGAAATAAAATAATCGAACTTGAACCTTTTCTTATTAATGAAGTAAATCAGCAAAAAAATATTTGTTCTAGTCTGAACTTACAGTATGTAAATAATTTGCTGGATGCTACAATAGAAGTTTGATTTGTAAATTTATAATTTGTAAAACAGCAGTTTTTAGTCGTACTCAACTTCCTTATGTAATTTGATGTTTTTTACACTCTTCGTAGCTTTCCATATAACAGCTTATTACCTCCCTTCCTTTAACTGCTTACCAAATAGTTATGGCAATGCAATGTATGCGTTAGTTTCCCATAATAATATAAGCCCATAATAATATAAGCCTCTTGAAAGCTCTTGTCTGAATAATCAACCTTTTTACTGGTACGTCCTTGTAAGCTCTTGATATATTATTCGATTCAATTAGGTAAACATAGGGCTTCGTTCACATGTTTATCTAAAACAACTGAAGGTACACCTATAACACATTTTGGAATAATTGTATTCAAGATTGGTCAAAAGTGGAATGTTTGGCGTATTGAAAATTAATGGTACACAATCTATTTTCTATACTCAAAGTTATCCGAGTTGTAAATAACTTCCACGTATCAATGACGAAAAATGGTTGAGATAACATTGTATCTACCACAATAGAGTAGACGTCTGTTTGTCTTAATTTAATATCAGTTGAAATAAACAGATCTAAGATTACGTTTAAACCGTTTAAATCCAAGTATTGTAAATTATTTGTAAAAGTCACAATTTACTATTCTGTCTATATTTGAATGTATTGATTTTGTCGCATTCCACTTTAATTGAGATATCTCTTTAATTGTTATATTTACTAACTGAGCTATGCATACGCTATTTATTTAATTTTCGTCAGCATTATTTAAGGTATGAGATGCCTAATGCAGAATCTCCTTTCTGAAGAGTATTTATTTTCAGAGAGGACACATAGTTTCGATAGGACGCAAGTTCAAACCCCAGAAGAGGCTATTTTTCAATTTTTGTCTTTTGTTCTTATTTTTGCTTGGCAAGATTTTGATTGTTTTTCTTATTTTTTACATAAAATCTGAAATTAAGAAAAAAAGTTTTATGCACGATTTTTACAATGAGTTGTGTGAAATTGGATAAAGATATAATTTAAAATGATCATTATGATTTGAAATCGGCATGGTAAAATTTCTGTATATTTCTACAAATATTTAGATTTGTATCAAGGTAATTATTTATTTATTAAATAATAATTTGATGCCCCAATTTTATTACAAAATCGAACAGGTTTTTTTTTTACCCAACCCTCTTTTTTTTTATGTTAAACAACAAGTACCTCAATGTACCAAAAACCTTTTCATAGACATTTGTCATTGGTTTTATTTGTAGTTATTACAAAACTATGATTCTTATTTATTTCTTTTCAACTAAGAAAATATGAAACTAGCAAAACTTTTCTTCAGATAATGAAAACATATTCTTTGTTATTGTTTTGCAAAATTTATACTTCAATTTTCAATATTTTTCAAAGAAAATGGTAAACTTTTGTAATTTTTTTTTGTATTAATATCCAGAATATAGTACAGATTAATCAATATAGAGTTTAAAATGTCTCTTGAAAAAGGTTGATTATACTTCCATTTATCTTAAACGCAACAACAACAAAGAAACTATCAAAATATCACTTAAAAATTGCCGATTTTTATCATGTACCTTACACGATGCTGCGACAAATGTGTTCAAAACTACTGCCAATTTTAGATTTTCCTTTCTTTCTATAAGATCTTTTAAACGAAAACAACGATACAAATCAGATACTTTCTTGTCTTGAACGTCGTGAATTCGCTAATAATTAAAAAAAAATAAAGGAAAGCATACGTCCACATATATTTGTTTATATCTTCACAAAGCTGAAAACTTCGATATTGTCGGCAGCTATATGATTCGTTTAATACATAACTATGAGGTTTTCGCCTTTCTTCATTATTTGCTTAGCAAGCGTAAGTTCCTTTGTAACAGACTTTTCTCTATCATTAGCAATGACTATGTTTGTATAAATATTTTACATTTTGTTTAGTAATACGACATTTATCGAAAATTAGAAATAATTGCTTTATTGTGTCGTTGTTTGGTAAATCAGCCGAATCCAGTGTCCGTATTTCATACCATTTTAGATGTCGAATAGTATCAGGAGAAGGAATTTGTCATTAATTTTATGATCTAGTGGGGTTGTACGTGATTATAAGTAGATGACCCCGATAAAATTTAGGTAATATAGACAAAGGTCGTGGTGACTGTCACATTAAGTCCACAGACAAAATGACAACCTTCATGTTTGGCCAAGAGGTTAGTGATGTCTCGGAGACTATACTTTTGGTTTTTAGATCAGTTGATCAAAGGTTCATGTAAATTTAATCATAATCTTGAAATACAGTCTTCAAATATTGTTTATACATACAGTAGTTGAATTGTGTTGGAAGTTTTAAGCTTAGAGAATCACTTAGAGTTCGGCACTGGAACCAACCCGTACCAAGAAATCAATATAATGTTTCTTGTCTGCGGAGACAAAGGCTTACCCTTTCTTCACGATGGGATTTAATAACACGCTAACAATCGGTATATTACTATTGTTGTGTTTTTAAACTGCTGGTCCAGGGCGCCACATAAATTCGTCAAGATTTTTGCATAACAAAACATTTTGATTTACTTTTTGATTACCATTCGGGAGGCATATTTGTTTTACGCATATCTTCCATTTAATTGTGTGGTTGTGATAACTACAAGCTTATACTCAATTTAAACATAATCTAGTAAAGGGGTGATTACTATGAAAGAATAAATACATCAATTATAGATCAAGATTGCAGACTCGGTTTAATTGAATCTGTTCATAATCACATAATCACAAAATCCCAGTAAAGCATGGTTGGCAAATTGAATATATTTTACATTTTGACTGTCATATTTAAATCATAATACATCAATAGGGTTTGTTATTATTTGAATGCATTGTCAAAGTAATCCATTTCCATTTAATATGAAACAAGTACTGCAATGGTCAATGTGCACCAAGAGGTTTCCTCGAAAAGTATAAAAAAATACTCTTCATTTGCAAACTTTTACAGTACAAAATAGATGAGAATAAATATATGAAATAAAATAAAATTACTAAGCATAAATAAAAAACAAGCTGCATAAATAGCACTTTTAATGAGAAAAAACACTGCAAAAACATAACGTTTAACAACAATTTCGTGTATGCGCTATTCATTTAAAGGCAATTTACTGTAATACTGTGGAAGTATTTTTTTTAATTCAAACAATAAGTTTTGCTGCAGATACGTAACTTTATTCACGTTAAGAAACAAATTAAAACGTTCAGCTTATGCACCAAACAATCTTTATGATTGTTTTAGTCAAATGTTTGAAATGTGTATTAAAATGTTAAACAAACAAACTAAACACTCTGTTGACGATTCTTCTGCTAAGAGTGCCTAAAATTACAAATATAACTATTAACTAACCAATATTTCCAAGAACTGCAATACTTTACCATATCAAATATAAGATCCTTTTACTATTAGTTTTAACATTATCAAGCGACACTATATCTTAGACTATCTAAATTTAGCCTTATTTTCCGATTAATACCTATACTAATTATGTTATTGAAATCTAATTTTTTATTCTATAAAGGATCTGAGATATACAAAAAAATGCAAAAAAAAGGAATAAATAAAAAATAAATTAAAAGAAAATAAAAGGAAAACATGTTTTCAATGTCAATGCAGTTGAGAGTAATTCTAGCCTATTTAGATACTCAAAATGATGGTAACGCATCAAATTACCTTTACCCAAAATAAATCCTAAAGGTTACATATTAAGAGCTATGATACCTTGAAGTTCATAAAGAATGATAGTAATAAAAAACAAGAATAGGTATAAAGCAATAAAACTAAGGGACATGATAAATGTAGAGTTTTCAAAAATAGATACAACCATAAAATGTTTTCTTCATATATGTCATAGTTATAAGATCTATACCTCCTTTAACATAGCGAAATCTATTCTACGTATCGGAGACGTTGCCTCCAGTCTGAATAACAATCACCTTTAGAAGATATAAAATCAACACTTCATTCGCAAACTTCTTCAGTGAAAACCGTATAGACTTAAAGTTTTTATTATACAGTATTTTTGTCTCATTTTCTGGTAGAATGGGTCTTTTGTCTCAACAAATTTGTAAAACAATTCACAAACTCATAAAAAAATCATATCCTGTCTAGTACTTGTGCAATGAATCAATAAACTAGTATAAACAAAGAGTTGCATCTAAATGACAGCATAGATTTAAATGACAGCATAAATGTTAATGACAGCATACATGTAAATAAGTGCATAGATTTAAACATGTTAAACACATGTGCAGTATGTCATGTGAGTTGGTCCACTTACACCAAGTGCAATAATTGTTTGTTTATAGAATGAATAATATAATGATTTGCAATGTAACACTAAATAATAGCAATAATTATAAAAAACATCAGATGTCTATGATTTCTATTATAACTTGTGCATTTTGATCATTCTTAAAACTCTATTCAAAAGTTAAACACCTTTTAAAGAGTTATAATAATGAGAAAGGAATACAAACTTTTACTAATAAAGTTATCAGTTTGTAGCCGAGAAAGTCACTTATGAAGCTGTTTTCTTGCCACAACCCTGCGCCACGCCTTTTGCCAGAATTGGACCGCCCTCATGTAATAAGAGAGGCGGCCATACGACGAAATCAACCTTTGCTCCACTGATGGTGTACGGTTTGTAGAAATCGGTGTCAAAACTTGAGCCTTTACTGAGTAGAGGAGCGAAGGCAACAGGTGGGTCTTGGATCTGTAAAATGTAAGTACTATAATCGTTAAAGGTACACTAAGACATTTGCCATCTCGTGCATTAAGTATTTGTAGAGCCTATTTATGTCATAATGAGCAACCAATGATATATCATAAAGTGTGACATCTTATCTTTACAAACTTGCACACTTAATATAATGCCATATAAGGTAAATGACGAATATCATTACATTTTATTTATCTAAACCATTTTAAATCTTACACTGTATATTTGATTAAAACATAACAAAGAAATCATCTTCTCATTCCCACGTTAATATTATAAGTATATCATATTTTGTCTTTGACGTAAATTTAAATTATTACTTACCACCATAAACCAACACATTTCCAAACATTCCGCTGTGAATGCACGGACTTTTAGAGCTGTTTTAGTCCTGTCATTTGTAGACTGTTCTAGATACGACTGATACATCTGACAAAATATTATTGTAATATTAGATTTGACATAATATAGAAACACTTCACTTTGCTTCGGGGTTGTTCTTAACACACCTCTATAACAGAATTGTTTAAATTTATAGACTTCTCTCCCTTGCCCTTCATCTTTGTTAGTTAGAAATAATATCTACCATAAAATGATGATCAAATACCAACATTTACTCTTTTTGAAATAAGAATTACTTGTATATTTATACATTTAGTTATAAGGATAATAATATTATAATTAATTCAATTATATTGTAAATATGTAACATTTGAGTTTTATAGAATTAATTTTAATCCTGTCGCATCAAATCTTATGAAACGATAAATTTAAAAAATCGCTTTGCATTTCATATGTATAGTTGGCAATTTGTAAATGAGTTAACATAATTTCCCTCTTAGCATTGAAGAGTACAATGAATTCAACGATCATAAATATTAGCTGCTGTACCTTTGGTAAGTTTTCTGTGAATCCCACGGCCTTCCTGCACTCTTTTAAAAGTTTTCGCACATCGACAGTGACATCTCCTTTGTCCTTGAAAGAAAATAGATCTTTATTATAAAACAAGATGAAATGATAAGATACATAATACGTTCGTACTCAACATTGAACTTGTCCGGTTTGCAGCATGAAAGGGATCAAAACTGGAGATTCTGATATATTTTCTTGGTCAAGTTTAAAAAAAAATATCTGTCTAGGAACAAAACGGTTTGAAATTACTTAAACTAAATACGCACCTCTCTGTCGGCAAATTTGAGTTCCTGTCCTAAGTTCTTCATTTGTGCTTTTGCCTTCTTCAAACAAAATGTAAATACATCCTAAGGAAAATTGAAAATACGAATAAGTATAAAAGTAATGTAATAAAATATTTGATATTAATATCAGCTCGAGAACATTTTTAAAACAAAGGACGCCAATGGATATATAAGTATAATCGTTTGAAATTTGTTTGGTCGAAAAAATAGAGGAAAAATTGTTACTAAACCGTTTACATTATCTATGCATACAAACGAATCTGTATGATAAATAAAAGGTATATTAACAATAATATTCACTTATATTTGATAAAAAATATTCCTTAATTACCTGTAAAATATGTAAAAGAGTTTCAATAACATATTCTTCTCTATGGTAGCTTTTTTCTAGAACGTCAAACGCATCTGTCCATTGATTATCATACAGCTCAGCATATTTTTCAGCCAGTTTAGTCGGACGATTTCTATCACTCAAATCAGTGATGTTCGGGTTGTTGTCAGTCAGCCTATTACCCATAACTTTGCTTAGTCTACAAAGATGTAAAATATTCGTAAGAAATAGAATATTTTGATAAATCAGATGTTTTAATACTTATCATATTAGTGTTAGGTTGTCAGCGTTCGATTTGTCATGCAATTTCTAAAATGACGTTATGCTACATACAAGGTAATTGATAAATTTAGAGGTATTTTATATTAAATTCAAATTTGTATAATTTGAAAATGTAATTGTTGCTGGTCTTGCATATTAACCATAATATTTTTAATCTTTTTCTTGATTAACATTATTCAGCGTCGAACTATCTGCTCCATACATTTCAGAATGTTTATCAAATAGAAACAATTCACCATATTTATGGTATTCCTGCTACAATGAATATACATTTCAAATTGATGATTTTATTATGAAATGTTAAAGATTTAACTTGAGGTGAATTTGAACGAAACTTTATAAAAGAAATATCTTAGTCACTTGCCTTGATTTAGTTTCAGCGAGTTCAGTCTCGGTGTCATGAAGCTTTGTACGCGCCTCTTGAAGTTGTTTTGTCAATTCTGCTATTTTCTTTCTTTGGTCAGTGTCAGCTTTAACTTCGTTTGTGTTTTTCTCAAGAGTCTTGCTTTGCATTGATTTTTCAAGATGACTTAAGGCGTTTTTGCTCCTATGCAAATCATCTTTAAGACGTAGAATTTCTTTCTTTTGCAAATCGATTCTCATTACTAATTCCTTTTCTCTTTCTTGCATCTGTTTCAAATCCTCTTGGTGTTGTTCCCTTTGTTGACGGACTTGCTTTTCCTTATCTTCTATCATCTTATGGAGACTTTTATTCGTTTCGGTCAATTCAATGCATGTAAGTTCATGAGACGAAATAGTCCTTTGTTGGGACTTGGATTTGGTCTCCAGACGAGTGTAGTCTACATTGATATTGCTGACTTCGTTTTTATGTGAAGGTTCTTTGGCTCTAAACTCTTCCTCCTTATTATTTAGCTTTTGTAATGCTTCATTAAGCTGCCTTTCAAGATCAGAGATCTTTTTCTCAAGAGTCTTGCTTTGCATTGATTTTTCAAGATGACTTAAGGCGTTTTTGCTCCTATGCAAATCATCTTTAAGACGTAGAATTTCTTTCTTTTGCAAATCGATTCTCATTACTAATTCCTTTTCTCTTTCTTGCATCTGTTTCAAAGCCTCTTGTTGCTGTTCCCTTTGTTGACGGACTTGCTTTTCATTATCTTCTATCATCTTATGGAGACTTTTATTCGCTTCGGTCAATTCAATGCATGTAAGTTCATGAGACGAAATTGACCTTTGTTGGACCTTGGATTGGGTCTTAAGACGAGTATAGTCCGCATTGACATTGCTCATCTCGTTTCTATGTAAAGTTGCATTAGCTCTTAGCTCTTCCGTCTTGTAAGTTAGTTTTTGTAATGCTTCATTAAGCTGCCTTTCAAGATCAGAGATCTTTTGCGATTTGTCTTTGCACTCTGAACGCAATTTTGTGAGGCTTTCGTGGTGCTCTTTTTCTTGTCCAGGATTTATCATTTCTTGGTCCGAAAGTTTAATTTTGCATTTAATCTCAGTGCTACTCCTCTCTGTGTGCTCAAAGCGTTCAATGTTACTTCCGCTTGAAATGCCTTTATATTTCTTTAATTGGTCTTCAAGATCTTTGAGTGTGCCATCACGAAGAGCTAGATCGCGCTGACATGAAGATAATGATTTCCTTAAATCTGATTCCATCTTTTGTTGTTCTCTTGAACAGGCATTGTATTGATTCCTCACAGCAGACAATTGAACTTCTTTTTCTTTATTACTTTTCTCTAGAAGTTTAATTTCTCTCTCATATTCGTCTATTTTCAATTTCATCTTAACCAAGTTATTTTTGTTCTCTCTTGTATATTCCGATTCGGCGTTTAAGTTACATCTGAGGTTTGCCTTGTTTGTAAATCCCGAAACATGTGTTTGTGCTACACTGAGCTTGCGTTTCAGATCTTCAATGTCCCCCTCAAGTTTATCAATTTTCGTTCTATCTTCAATTTTGATCGTTATGATTTTAGATTCGCTATCGTTTAGCTGTTTTTGTACAATCAGAAGCTGCTTTTCTAATCGGGATATGTTGTCATGATTTTCATGACATTGACGTTCTTTCTTCATAAGCTTGTCAGTCAAATCTTTAATTTCTTTATCACGTTCTTGTAATACCTTAAACCCCGACTGTTTTGATGTTGATCGATTTCGGGTTTCGACGATCGATTCCCAGCTGTCATCCATGAAAATACCTGAATCATCATAATCCTCAGGTATCTGGCATCGATCATAACGATCTTCAATAAAGTCTTTATTTGGATACAAAAATGCGTTATATTTGCGTAAATCATGTTGAATATGTGCAAGCCACGCATTTTATACGACATAGTCTATTGCACAACGCTCAAGAATTTTAATTACGTCTTTAAGGCTTTGTTTATCCGATTGTAAGTGACATGTATATGGATCCGGCAAAAACATTGTCTAAAAAAGTAGATTCATATTCATTAAGACTTTGCTATTAGTTATAGAAGTTGCTGACGGTATATAAGGGATAATATAGCCTGAATGAGATAAATATGACCCGGGACGTTAACAAATTTTTAATAAGTAACTGCTAATCATGTTTGATAATGGTTTATAATGGTTTATAAAAGACTCAGCAACTTAAGAAAATAGTAATTCCAGTATAAAGTAAAAATGGTGGAGTAGCCTTTATCTATGTATTATATTTTTGAAGTAATGACATTTGAATCGAATAATAAACTATAACAAATAAAGCGTAAGACGATACAAATATATGGTTCGATGTGCGTGCTTCGGTTCTCACGGGACGAACAGTGTATAATACAAAATATTTCAGCCACTCTGAATCTGAGAAATGTTTTAACATTATTATTCTATCATATCATATTATTCAACATAAATGTCCTTTCTCACGAGGATGGAATTCACGGATAATTACTCTTCAAATGAAGGTCAAGTTGAATAATATTCGAATAAGTGTTTAAATTTCGGCTATAAGCAAATAATGAGTAAATAATACAGAATAGATATTTCTAAATGTTCAAAAGGAGACCGGTTCAAAAGAATAAGAGGTCGTTTAGACAACATCACATAAAGGATTACTCCAAGCATTAGTACGACAGCATTGATGATAATTCTGCGCGCGTTACCCCACCCCTTTGTGGTATAGTGACGAAAGTGCGTCGCGACTTGATTACTGGCAGACAACTGGGCAAAGAAGTTTAAAATGATATATTTTAAAAGTGTTGAATAAAAAAACAAAATTAACATCTAAGAAATGTTCCGAATTTCATTATTTTCTTTGTAAATTTCTGAATACTTGCTTACTGTTGGGGTATGTTAGTGGAGTGAAACAAATAATATGGCCCTAGATATGTTTTAGAAAGATATTCAGTATCATTTACTTAATATAACATCAAAAGAAAAAGAAATTTTTATTACAACATGTTTTTGTTGTATATTTGACAATACATTTAGTGTAACACTGATATTTCTTAAGAAAGCGTGGTAATTTTGACAGTTGGCATATGCGGTAACCATGGAAACTGCCAGTTTACAAAAAACTAACACGTCAACATATATATTTTATTTCTATTTTTGAGTCCACCATCAAATGTTACTTGATATATCAATAATGTAGAAAAATTCTATGAAAGAAATTTCTTGATAGCTTTAAATTTTTTACAGAATTCATGTTTATTTTTCTCAATTTTTTGTTTAGTTAAAAAGCATAAAAAACTCATTTTTAAAGAAAATATGTTCTAATTATCGTTTGTTTTATACAGAACCTCTAAAGATAAAGCAAGCTTTGTATAAAATCATGTTTATTGTGAGTGTAATAAGCTATTTTATACATTATTATAACACAGTTTGGCTATTTTGACAATTTTGAGATTTACGGTTACCATGGAAACTGCCATTTTTCAAAAAATCCAACTGGCCAACATATATTTTTTTTTTCTTTTGGATTTGTCATTAAATTTTACACAACATAAAAAAAAATAGAAAATCCTATGAAACACTTTTTTCAATATCTCTAATTATTCTCAGAATTCATGTTTATTTTTCTCATTTTTTGTTTGGTTGAGGAACATGGAAAACTCATTTTTTAAAGAAATATGTTCAGATTATCATTTGTTTCATACATAATCATTAGATAATGTTATCTTTGCATAAAACAATGCTCGTTGTGTGTTTTTAAGCTATCTTATACATTTTCTATTCATTATAACACAGTTTAGTCTATTTTGACAGTTTTTAATATACGGTTACCATGGAAACTGCATTTTATAAGAAATCAACACGTCAACATATATTTTTTCTTTTTATTTTTAAATTCGTCATTAAATTTTACTCATCATACAAAAAATTTAGAAAATTTTATGAAAGGATTAATTTTTCATAAAACTGTAGAAAATGTCTTTAAAGCCACAGTTTGATTGCCGTAAGGACAACAAACACACCAAAGATGTAAAATCAGCGCCACAAAAAAACCACAAAGGTCTGATGTATTCTTCGCGCTTGCACCGATAATTTAGATGTCACTGCGTTTTAATCGCGCTAACAGTATGCATCCACTGTGTGTTAATCCTTGTTTGTTTTGCTTGAACCGGAAGCAGTAAGCGTGTATATTTAGTAAAGACCAGTACCAGCGCGCGCATCCGAGCGGTGTGACAAGGTTCAAACTGTTGGCTGACTAAATAGAACGTTTTATCTTTATATAACACCAGTTGAAAATAGACATTTTGGATGAGAAACAGCGCCATGCCACATTGCTTCTTCCTGTATCCAGAGATTTAGCGGATACATCTCGACTCAGTTAGATGCAGACGACAGAGAAGGAAAGGAATAGCGATTGATACTGGCTGCTCGGGTATGGTTTTATTGTTTTGAAAAAATCTTATTTTCAAAATCAGTTATAAACACTTTGTGTGTTGAAACGTGATTTTACAAAGGTTTTATAGTGTAATAATGAGCATAATATATTTGCATTTTTAATGCCTTTGGAGATCGACAACCCAAGTTGTTGTGGCACATGTATCTAAAGTATAAAGCTCTTCCACTACACACTTTCCAAACTATCTACAAAATTTACGTTGGTCTTTTGATGTAATTATTTAAAACAATAATGTACATGAAAATGTAAGATATTTTTTGCGATTTTCTGTCACCTTTTGAAATGAAACAATGACACATCAACCTAGTAAAATGTAGTAAAGTGTAACAGGGGGCTTTAACGACCGAGTACAATTGTCAATTTTATTTAGCTTTATGGTTGCATTCAAAATTGGTTCAGTATTGTATACGAACTTAAGCTGACTTAGTGATGATTATATAAATTCACAGTATACATGTATTAATTATTACATATATATAATATTGTTAAAAATACTAACAATTATAAAACTACGCCAATTTTGTTTAATCAATTACTAGTATTGTTTATAATATAAGACAACAAAATTGGACCTATGACTTAATCCATTAAATATCAAATGTATAGGATAATATTTAAGATAATTTTAGAATTATATAATTGTGACCTACATTTTCTTCTCCCAAAGATTGTAAGAATAGTTGATCGTCATACAATTCATCTTCTCGCGACCATTTTCTGAATGATCCTGTCCTGTATGTTCCACCATACTTGTATATCATTGAATGGTCCATGGTTATTAAGCCAGCAGTAGAAAACTCCGATTTTGTTTTATAAATTCATCTAAATAAATTTAAAAAAGAAACAACGTATATGTTATATACATTCAATTATCGAATGTAACATTATGTACATACTTCATGACTATATATATATATATATATATATATATATATATATATATATATATATATATATATATATATATATATATATATATATAATATTACTAGATGCAAAATTTGATTGCTTAACTTGTTCATTTATAAGTAGGACGATTAACACGAATCCGTTGCTTGCTTTATTTGATAGTTATATACATGGTTTCTTTGAAAAGAAATGATAGAAAGGGATAATTTTTTAAATTATTACTTACATTTGATAGAGCCATGAAATTATATTTTCCGAAATTTCAAAAGCTAAACTTCATGTATCAGCATTTTAATTTACTTCCTTTTCAGAGAATTACCTTACGTGCTTAGATCACTTAACCTACACAATTGATGTATACGATACCTTGATTTCGCATTCATAGCTAATCAGCTATAACATGGGGTAGAAAACCAATCAATACTTTAACTGTGTATGTCTTATATAGAGATATCCTATATTTTGTAATTTTTAAATAAGATTTGGTTAACTTAGTTAATTGGAATGTTGACAAATCTACACATTCAGGTTCTATTTTTAATAAATCAAATATACATACTCACTTCTAACATTGGCCACGAGTATAAGTGATGGCTTCAATCATTACCTTAATTTTATTTCGATTCTAACGTACCTGATATTAACCTATATTGTGCCTGATTTTTTTCCGTACTTATTTTCAGCGCGTTAAATTTTTAGTGGTAACGTCATGTGTATAATGATTACATCACATGCCTAAATATAGAACGACAAACTTTGATTTTATTGCATAATAACACACACTTTCGGTTCTTCTATGTTCAATAGGGAAAAAATGTGGGTCATGTTAGAATAATAAATATTTCAACTTACTACAAATGCCTTTGATTGAAGTGTCAGTAAAACGTGAAAGGTGCAAGCCTACAGATACATGAAAAATATTATGAAAAATTAAAATATGTTTTAAAAGTAATAATGGTGAAGTGAGCTAAAGCAACAGTCTGACATGTAAATTTTATTTTTTGAATCATGTATCTTTTTGCTTTTCTTTAAATCTTTTTCATTCAGTTTGTTCCTTCATGTTCTTAAAAAATGCCTCATGTGTAGACATGCACTTTAAACAGTTTCATATTAACTTCGAAAAAACGACGCTTGAAACATTTTAAAATAAAAATAAAACGTCTTTAACGATGAACCATTTTGCATTGTATACGGTAATAATATTTCTTTATTCTAGGGTCAAAAACGACGATGGTGTATGTAGCTCACGCTTCGTGCGTCTTTTCGTATGTCACGTACGAGTATACATTAAATGGGAAATGGTAAGTTGACAATATGATGTATATTCCGTAAAAATCATATTTATAGATTGAGTTAATATGTATTGTAAGCTAAATTTATTGTGGTGATAGTCATGTTTTACAGATCAAAAATAGAATAAAAAGATAAACAAAACGGAATTATGTTAACATCACGTTAGAACGTCTGTTCTTCCATATTTTGCGCATTGTCTTCAGCAGCCATTTACTTGCCTTTTCATGTTTACTTTGAAAAAGAGTTGTGCATTTAAACAGATTTTTTTCGGAAAATAATATTTGACAACGTTATAGGCTATTAATGTATCTATCCGCATGTCACATTGAATATTTATAATACCGAACTTATATTTGAATATTGGTCGACTGTCTTCCTTTCTTATTTAAACACATTCTTAATGTTTAATCATTGTCTTTTAACTGCTCCATCTCTCAACACACTCCTAAGGTAAGCATGAAACTTAGTCACAAGTGTAACGGTCAAGGTCATCGACTGTTTCTGATGAGAAAGTGGTTCAAATTTTTATCAGATATTTAAAAGCAAGAAAATTGTAATTTATGACAAAATAAAGGAAAAAGCAATTCTGAAAACTTATAAAACATGTCTGTCTGAAATGTTCACATGTGTAGAATGTATGAATGAATGTAGGTAATACAGATGAATATCTGCGAGTGATGCTGCTTTGGGTTTGGATATTTTCTATAACCGAGCACTATGTTAAAGTAATAGATAAAATCCTCCATTGAAAATCAAGATAATTAGAATTAATACATTATAATAGCAAAACGTAAGCCCAAATTTTTATTCGTTTTTAATCGCAAGATACAAAATTATCATTTGATTTAATAAAATAATTTCAATGCGGTATTTCATTTCACACAATTTGTCTGCTTTATATCAATCTTAAAAGTATGCATTTCAAAATACATGTATTTCACGTTTAAAAGCCCTTAAAATATTATCTATGTACATTATCTTCTGAAAACGCAACAAAATATGTTGAGATATTTACCTGTATTTCAATATCACCTTTAATAAATCAAAATATAACCATTTTGGTTGTAAAAGAGTTTATATAAAATTAATATAAACAAAATCTATCTTACATTACGATATTAAAGCACAATCATAATAAGTTCTTTGACAATGAATAAAAACCATTACTATGTTAATTGATTTAACTTTTCAATAAATTGTTTGTAGTGTTATGCATTACAGTTATTCAAAATGTCGTTTGTTGTTTTTCCGCACGAAATTTTAAAGTTTTTTATGCAAGCATCAATTTCGGTCACGCACTGAGCCAAATATTTGTTTCTTTAAAAATATCTAACAGCTTTGTCTTTCTTGAACCCGCTCCTCAATTGTTGTTTTCGTTTCTAATCTGCTGATATCCTTGGGCAACACCTTTCATCAATACAGGACCATTTTCGTATAAAAGAAGCGGTGGCCAGACAACATATTCAACGTGTGTGCCACTTCTTGTGTATGCTTTGTATAAGTCCGGGTTGAATATCGAACCCTTTTCAGCCACTTGAGCCAACGAAACAGGTGGATCCTGGACCTTGATTTATACAATGTTTGACATTTTAGCTTACATTAGCACATGCAAGAACAATTCATCTTGTTTCTGTAATTCAGTTTCTCAAGGTCATTACTAGATAAATACGCATATTATGTGTATTCAAAACTATTTTCCTGTCAATTTGATTCTTATGTTCAAAATGCGATTGTAGAGTATAAATAAATTTTACATGTGTGACTCCTCCAGAAAGATGAAAAAGTATCGCTCACTAACTATTTAACGCATCATTAAGACATCTCAATAATATTTGAGCCGCGTCATAACAAAACCAACATAATTCGTTTGCGACTAGCCTGGATCCAGACCAGCCTGCGCAACCGCGTAGTCTGATCAGGATCCATGCTGCTACTTGTTAAAGGGTTTGTAAGCGAACAGTATAGATCGTGATCAGACTGCGCGGATGCGCAGGCTAGTCTGGATACATGCTGGTCGCAAACGCACTATGTCGGTTTAGTCATGACGCGGCTCATGTGTTGTACGTATTAAAGGAACGCACTTCTTAAAGTAGTAAAGTGATCGTCACTGGTGATACCTGTAAATTAGTTAATGTAATATTTCGCTTTTGGAAACAAGTTTATTAAATAATCAGACAGGAGATTGGGTCCGGATAATAATGTATTCAACATGTTCATCTTGTTACTTTCAAGAATACATACCACCATATACCAGCAAATTGTAAGACATTCCATTGTAAAGTCTTGAACATTTAAAGCTGACCTTCCTGTTTTGTCTGTTGACCCCTTTAGATAGGACACATACATCTGAAATTTAAAACAACCCTGCCAAATTAGGTTTCCAAACCAGGAAGGACCAATTTAGCATGAAAAGGGTGCAAAACAGTTAGGTTTTCGTTTTTAAACAACGCCTGGAATTTTGTAACATGGTACAAAAATGAACAGTGAAGCTTTCGGACCTTAACTTATCTATGTTGATAATTCAAATTAGACAATTAGATACATTGGTGTAATTACATTAGTCATAATTGTATATAGTACAAAGTCATGAACTTTTTATACTTTCAATTATATGAAAAAATGTGACCTTTCTATTATATTTTTTCCATGAACTTAGTCATGGTTACCTGATAAAGGTTGTCTATAGAAGAGCTGGACATAGCTTTTCGACAATCTTTCAAAATCCTTTGTTCGTTTGGTGCAATGTCTCGTTCTATCTGTATACATTATATAGAAACGATCAGTCTTCAATATACTTCTCACATTTCTTATGTAGAATCATTAGTATTCAAAGTAAGTATTAAATACTGCGAGAATGCTACCAAGTGTTTTGTGATAATGTAAGACAAATATTGTTGTAAGGAATTGATAATACATGTACGCTATTCATTAATCTAACAAATATGTCTTCAATTCTGAATTTACAACTTTCATTTATACAGTTGTATTGCATTGAAATGGTATTGAGTTGTGCTCTGTTTTTGATTACGAAACCATGGAAACAGAGTAAACTAATGACATGAATGACACCATGCCTTATTATTCGGTGAAACTACGCATGGTACATATAATCTCTCAAACCTTTCAAATATAACTGCAGAACAATTCTCTAAAGCTCATTTAGGAAAAATGAAATAAATAATTTACAAAATTGGATTATTTCCTTAAGATATTTTGTAACATTTTGTATATGTAGTGACTTGACGAAATATTTGTCACATTCATTCTTCCTAAAGACCTATTTATAATTGTAAGTACATTCTTATCGTATCATGATTGGATTTTTGCGCTACTCTATAAACGATTTTAAAGCTAATGTTATTTACCTTGAAAGTGTACATACACATGCTTTTTGTGGAATATTAAAACAATGTTACATTATTACAGAGTGTCAAATCTCAAAGCGTTCTGCAATTTACAGGGTCATTCTTTAAACAGCTTGATAGAGAAATTTTGTAATGCTAAATGTTATTTTGTTATAATGCTGAACTTACATGAGTGTCGGAAAATTCCAGCACACGTCTCAATTTTTCAATTTGTTCCCGTGCTTTGGTTTTGCAGAAACTTTCGACATCCTGATAATATATTTTAAACGTTCACTTAATTTTTTATAAAGAAAACATGTTTGATAAAATCTCAAGAATAAAACTATATGATATTTAACATATATTTACCCTACATATAATGTTTGCAATAATAATTTTGATAAGACATAAACACATAATCGTAATAAATGACGAATCTAAAAACAAGTAATGTAATCATGAAATAATGCCTGGTAATGTAAGGAAATATGTCTACGATTTAAAGGAAGTGTACTTAGATAAAGCCTTTGACCTGAAGAAATTTTAGCAGTGTTTCGATGGTGTCTTGCTCATCGTTTTGTTCTTTTAGCATAACGTCAAATGCCTCAGTCCATTGATTGTCATACAGTTCCGCATATCTTTCTGCAAGTTTTGTAGGACGATTTCTGTCGTTGAGATCAGCTATATTAGGATTGTTGTCCGTCAGTCTTTCTCCCATTGCTTTACTAAGTCTTTAAAATTATAAAAACGAATAATGTTATGAAATACGTACGTAGAATATTTTCATGCAGGTACGGTTATTACTTTTTTTAAATGATTAAGACTATTGACATCGTTTTTATTTATATAAGTTATCATTTATTAAATGTTTAACATGGCTGTTTTCAGCTTTATAAATGACAACACCACTTATTCATAGACATTTGTTAATAATAATCAGTGAAAACCAGATATCTTCAACTTTTCCATTCTTTTCCATTTGTTTTGACACTTCCTTTTTAAAATAAAATGCAATACTGAAATAACAAAAATGAGCGGCTTAAAGTCTACATGATAGTAATCTTACAATATTTACAATAAGAAATTTCTAGTTGAATTGCAGAGTTTCATTTACCTGGTTTTTGTTTCACTAAGCTCAACCTCTGTATCTTTTAATGTTGTATACATCTGCTGTAGTCTAACATTCAGTCTATTTATTTCGTCTTGAAGTTCAGTTGCTCTTTTGACATTCTGATGATTCTTTCGTTCATTTTGAGTTGCAATGCCTTTCTTCAACAATATTTCGTTCCTTGCTTCAGTCAGTTGTTTCTCTCTTTCATCTATTTTCTTTTCAAGCCGTTTGATTTTCTGAGTACACTGTTCAAGTTCAATCTCTAACGCCTGAATAAATGTGGTTAACCTAACTTCTACATCATTTTTTTCACTTTTCATTGCTTCTATTTTGATAACAGAGTTCTCCAATTCATTCTGTAAGTAAGAAATACGCTTACTGGATTCCTGAAACCAAACCTCTTTTTCGTCATCTGTTTCATTATTTTTGTTGTTCAGCATTTTTTCCAGCTCATAATTTTTCCGTTCAAAATTACGTTTCTCGGTCTCTAACTTCTGAATCTCATTTGTCTGTAATTCGATGATATCCTTACTGAGCGTTTCTAAAAGCCTGATTTCTTTAGCATGTTTATCAGTCTGCCTCCATAGATATTCTTTCAAGAACTTGATTTCATCTTTAAGCTTTTGATTTTCGTCATAAACGTACGGTGGTTTATAACTCGAATAGTGAGCATCCTGTCCTTTATTTCTATAAGAATTATTGTCAATTTTTGGAAGTCGTAGTGCATTTTCCTCTGATCTGTGAGATTTGAAGTTATGTCTCCCATTCTGCAAGTGTGTCATTTTGCATAAACCTGCTGATTATGAATAAAAAATACGGTATTATCAGGAGTGAATATACGAATAAAAGAACTGTAAAGGAGCTGCTTAGTTCTATAAAGTCACACAGACTTTATCTTGCATAAAACACATTATCGAGTAGATTTAAGAGGCATTGAAAGGGATACTCAGGCAAATCAATGAAAAAAATATTAAAAAAAATCACGCAAAAACATAATTTTTAAATCCCCCCAAAATTTCCTTAAATTTCTATTTTAAATTTGGGTTTTAAATGTTAAAAAATATTTATATTCAAATGAAAAATTTTAAAGCCACTGAATCACCCATTTTTAAAAAAAGGATGTACTGAACAAAACCGGAAAATTTTAAAAAAAATATTTATGATTTTTATATATACAATTTTCTTAAATTAATATTCCTTTTATTTCAAGTTTCACTTACAACTATTTGGAAAAACTAAACCCCTAAAACCCACCAAATGGGTCAAAAAAAAGTAGGATGGGACCCCAATGTTTTTTCTTTGTGTCAATTTTACTTAAAACATGCACATTTAAGAAATTTGACCGTTCAACAAAACCCAAAATAAATTGGTTTGCGCCAGATGATCCAGACCCGTCAACCCCAGTCTAATCAGATCATGATGCTCGCTTACAAATCCTATAGCAAGTAGAGAAACTGATAGCGAACTGCATGGATCTTGATCAGACTGCGCGGATGCGCAGGCTGGTCTAGAGCCATGCTGGTCGCAAACCCACTATGTTGATTTTGTCATGATACGGCTCATTTCTGCTCTGCTTCTGTAAAAATATACTAAAATTTCTAATTAAGGGCTTATTAGCTTAAGTCAACATTTTTCATGTAACAAGCAAAAATAACGTGTTATTATTTAGTTTATTACATTATGGGTAATTCTCTTTTTTTAACAGCTATTTATATGTTCTATAGTTTCATGATATCTTACTATGTATTTAGGTTATAAAGGTCTGTACATCTTGTTCGAACCTTGAATATTTTATCTTATGATAACATGAAACTATGAAAGTATAGTACATAAACAATTAATACTTACATGATGTTGTCACATTTTCTGTCATAAAACAAGAAATTGTTAAAATACTCGTACAATTTAATTTGAAATAGTAAAGCAAAACCCACCTTTTAATCTACTTCCCTTTTCATTTAATCGCTTGTATATTCAAAGAATACGTTATGTGAATTGTTGACTAAAGTCATGGTTGAACGTGCAATTTCTATTTATTCACATTTGCCAATTCTTTATTCACATTTGCCCATTCAATTCAATTTGCTCGTTGCTAACATAAACATATATATGTAACGCGGTGTCAGATGATGAATAGCATTTTTAACTAATTGTATATTATATAAACATTTGACTTTCACTTCCAATTTGAATGTTTCGCTAGTTGTGAGTATAATTCCTAACATGTAAGTAAATAATATTTTAAATGTATACATCTATCTTTAACATCTATCTAGATGCAGTGTACATTCAGCGCATAAATATACATGAGCCGCGTCACGACAAAACCAACATAGTGCGTTTGCGACCAGCATGGATCCAGACCAGCCTGCGCATCCGCGCAGTCTGATCAGGATCCATGCTGTTCGCTATCAGTTTCTCTACTTGTAATAGGGTTGTTAAGCGAACAGCATGGATCCTGATCAGACTGCGCGGATGCGCAGGCTGGTCTGGATCCATGCTGGTCGCAAACGCACTACGTTGGTTTTGTCGTGACGCGGCCCATATAATAGATAAAGTCAGTTTGGAGGTTTACATATTCAATGCATAAAAAATCATATAACAAACTACAAGCTGTATGATATGCTAAAATTGTCATACTGTGTTATATTTTCCATTCAATAATGAAGGGACGAGAACATCAGATACATAGCATGATGAGCTATGATCAAATGGAACATTGATTTACATAATACCCGTAATCTGTCATTAGATTGACTTAGTTAAATAGTTTAAATTGATTTAAAAGAAATAGATATATATATTTCTATATGACTTTTTTGTCATTCATATTTATGATTATTTTTCAACTAATTATTACAAAAAAATAAACTGAATAATAAGCTCGTGTTTCTAGAAAAATATGGCCATCGACTCGAACCATTACCTATGTTATCATTAAAAAGATATGTGTTGATTAATTTATTTTACAGAAAAGAAAAACAGTCAAAAAAGAAAGAAAATTGTCTGTGTCTCATGCAATTTTACAAAGAGTTATTTAGATAATTGTTGCCATCTTTGAATTGATTAAAACAAAAAGAAAAAAAAACATGAGTAAAAGATATGTTCAGATATTTGACCTATGGGTTACTTCATGGAAATTTTATCAGGATGCAAAAAAACAACAACAATAATATAAAATTTGTTGATAAATAATCGCTTTTTGGATATAAAAACAAAAAACATTTCAATGACATTATGGGTCTTTAAATAGAAGACAAGTTCTATCAATATAGCATAGATCTATATTACTTCTCTGTTTTAAATATTTTAAAACTTAAACGCAAGCAATATATCTTTTCATGAAAGGAGAGGTTTGAAATACGATCTGCTTCGTAAATTTGTATCTGTTCCAACTTTAAAGATCTATATATCTTCAAGGTTATATCTGCATTATAAAATTTATTTGACAGTTGACCTGTAGACGTTAGTGGAATTCTTTACTTCATATCATAGTTTCAATAGATATATTTGAAACACAATTTTTAAAAGGCATTTTTTAATTTTTTGTTTCGGAAAGGGAAAAAATTTTTTCGTTTTTTACATTATTTACATTTGCCTAAAAACATGTAAAATGTTCGGGGGGACCAAAATGGGACGGGAAACTTTTTTAAGTAAATTTTGTTAAAAAAGTTTTTTTTACATATTTTTAAAATTAAACGTTAAAAAAAGTATAGAACCATTTACTTTTATTTTTCTTTTCAGCCAATATTCAAAATTTTTATCATATCTTTTTTCGCTTTAAAAAAGCCCAATAAATTTTTTTATGATTAAAAAAACTCATACATTTAATCATCATTTAAACTTTTAACTAACTTTCTAAAGGTATAAAAAATTTAAAAGGGAAAAAATTGACATCTTTTTGTTTCGGGGGTACCATAAGAAGAAGAAAAAAAAAATTTATTTATTTTACTAAATAAAATCATAGTTCAATTTTTAAAATAGCCCCATTATTATTTTATTACTCTAAATTACTTTCGAAAAAAAGTTAATTTTTTTAACCTCAATTTTAAATTGAAATAAAAAAAAACATATTTTTTCACCATACCCTAACCCAAACCCTGGTACCATACAAAACCAACATTGCAAAAAGATCAGGGCAGGTACACCCTCTTTTTATCAAACCCAATTTTAAACTCATTTTTTTTCTTTTTTTTTATTTGAAACATAACTCTTTAAAAAAATTTAAAAAATAAAATTGCATTTTTGTTCAAAAACTTTTTATTTTTATTTCTCAAACCGCCATTCATCTTTTATAATCATCAACGTTTTTTTCAAACCCCAAAGTACCCTTTTTAAATCGAAAGTACTTGTAATTAAAACATAAAAGTGAGGTCTCGCAAATTTTTAAACAATATCTGTTCTATTCATAATTTATTAAGTGACTAATGTTGGAATATAAAAAAAACTGTAAGTACTTGTAAGTCATATACAGATTTATTTCCAGGAATATAGAATAAAGTTCATATAATATCTAAAAGGATTCGTCTACGAAAGGATTGTAAATATAAAGTAAATTATTATGTACATGAAATATCTATAAATGGAATACGGTTTAAACTTATATCTATAAAGCGTTTTACTCGATCGAGTTATACACTATAATTACGTCAGGGTTGACCTAAATTTTTAAGTAAACACAGCGACAATATTAAATCGCTATGGTTCTTGATAACTTACACCGGAAAAGGAAGTAAACTCATACAGATATTTGAAATAACAGTACAGCCTAGATTTATCTATGGCGGAGGTCAACATCGTGAGTACTAGTTTATGATTATGTACATAATACATTTCATTTTATTCTGCACTTGTTTTTGAACTTACTTTTTATGTATAATTTGCCACAAAGATTAACTATGTCTTGATTACTATCGTTAGCATAGCATAACGTAGCCAGGTCAGTAAATAGTAAATAGACCTCTCTACACATCAATATTTGACTACATAATTAATGTCATTAGATATCACAATCAATAAAGAAATTCGATCTTACTGGTTATCGATAAAAATATACAATAACTAGGTCTATATTATGACAATGTATCCAATGTTTTCGTGTGTTACCCCTTGAAAATGTGCATTCCTCTTGCTTTAATATCCTTCTTCTTTTTCTTATCACGGTGCGACCATCTTGTTGCATTGTTGTTGTTAGAAATGCAACCATTGAACACCAGCCCTATAATTTCTAATAAAAATGTCATATAAAAGTATATGAACATTAAGAAAAATCCGAATGTAAGAAACTCAGCATGTTTCGCTTACATATTTACTTTTTTCGATTTGGATATGCACTAATTACTGGCTTGGCTGCGAGCCGTTTACCTGTAATTGTATCATATGCATTGATATATCATTAATTGTTGATAAGATTTCATTTTGACAAAAATGATGATTAATGCATTAGAAACAGTGACATAGTTACATACCTATGTATAGATGTATGTAAACATGTGAAAGACACAAAACCTGCTCTTCATTCTTTATCGTTCGCAGTGTTATACTCTTGTTTTATCTTTTTCTTAAGAAGTGTCGCCAATAAAGCATGGCGTTTTACAGCTGAGAGCAGCAAAGGAAACCCACCGTTCGGAAAATATTGGAGATGTTAAATGATTACAAATACTTAAATGAGGAGGATAGACAAAAAGGCTGAAATAAGACGACTTAACGAGGTAAAGTGACCCCATCCCCTAGGTGTATGCACCCCCTGTCTTTATCTGTTAAAGAATATTAACTCTCCGGTCATATTATGACTCACGGTCAAAGTATTATGATTTCCCCATATGTACAAAGTAGCCCGCGCAAGGAATGGTGACCCATTTTGAATAATGCCACCCACACCATCAGTATACAAGCAGATTATGAAATTTTGTTGTATGGCGATTAATCTTAAAACGATACTCATTTTCACGCTTTATATGCACGATTTCCTGCTAAAAATGTTTGGTTTATTACCACTATTTGCAAATGTCTATACATAATTCTAATATTATTTGTAGAGCGATATATATTTATCAATATTTCATAAGCATAAAAGAGTAATATGGCGTATGTAACATATTTCTAACCAGGAAGTAGATATTTAAATCAACAACAGTGGACCACTCTTCGGCCCGAAATATATATTATGTAGCATAATCATAAATGCCAACCACTTGGTATGAAACTTGCAAATATCATTCAAAATTGTTATCTGATTTTGACGTGTTCGTTTATACTATAATAAAGATCACACAGCCAGGCGTAAACTTAAAATATTTATACCCATTTGAAAGTGATGCTTTGAAGCAAACTATGATTCATAATATATTCTTATTAATGAGCGAAAGTACAACGATGGGTATTAAAATAAAATAAAATAATTTAAACAATTTCATGACTATTTCACTATATAGACACACACTTGAAATAAAATCGGTGATGTCAAGTAATAAGAATGAAAAGAAAAACAATGATGTTTATATGTTTCATTTAAGATAATAATTATTGACAAATTTCAAGTGTGAGGAATAGCCTCACTTTAGTTATTATATTACTATATTTAGTCCGTAAATAGTGCTTTCGAAAGAAAGTAATTTATTGTTAACCAGCTCAAGTGTACAGGTATTGAAAGGGTAAAAAAAGCATATTTCATTACACCATATCTTAACTCTTAACATGTTGAGACTTGACCGAAAGTGATAATCATTTGCAACCAGTATTGAGCTTGGTCAGCATGTACATCCGTTTGTCTGGTGTTCCTTCACCTTACACTACATTAAAGGCAGGGAACCAGACTTGCACATCCGTCTCATTAGACTCTATCATTAAACTGTTCGTAGCTCATTCTTTGATTCGTTAAGGGCATATAATCTTTGCAAGGAGTGTTCAAAATTCAAAATAGGAAATTCGGCAGGTTTGTGATCAAACACTTCCATCGTAATGGCTCAAACACATTTGACATTTCGATCTCATGATATTCATCAGTACGTTATTTTCAAACCGAAAGAAGCCGTTATGAAATCGAAAATAGCTGGCTTGCTGCAAATAACTTACACATGATATTAAGTATATTATTTATCAAGTGACTAATGTTTGGATATAACAACTTTAAGTACTAAGTAATGTTACATATTTATGTTTAAGGTTTAACTATCTTATATGATTCCTCTACGAAATGATTGTAAATATAAGGCGTATTATCATGTACATGAAATATCTATAAATAGAATATTGTTTACTCTCAAATCAGTGTTATACTTGAGTAATACAGTATAATTTTGTTACTACAGGATTGACCTAAATTGTTAATGTTTTCTCATCGAAAATGTTACACAATTGATATGGGTCTTGATAACTTACACCGGAAAAGAAGTAAATTCATGAAGATATTTGAACAGGACAGCCAATATTTAACTATGGTGTGCAACTGTATCGTAAGTACAAGTTGATGTCTAATTCTATTTTGTTGTGTGCATGATGTTTTCGTTTAACTATGAATGATGTTTTGTAGAATAAGCTTGTTACTATCAATTAGTTGCATGCGCTATCAGTTCTAGTTATTTAAAATGTATTCAGGAATGATAATTTATCTGACTTATACATTTAACTGAATTAAAACATAATTGATAGTATTGAGAAAAAAACACTATCAAAATGATATATGTTAGAAACGGTGATACTGTCATGACTGTTACACTCAAATGTTTACACTTTATGAACAACGAGTATACGCCTCCTTCGATCATTCGCTTTGGTTTCGTACAATGTACATATCTTTGAATTCCCGTCTTCAATATTAGACTCTTTCCTGACAAGAATACGGATATATGTGTTATTAAAATATTTTAAGTGCATGTTCTTATAATGATCAAATTATCACGAATGCTATCTTTTTCTAAAATTAACTATGTTCCCTAATTAAAACGTTTTTTTTTTTTTTAAAAAAACAAATTAGTGTCCCTTTGATTAATAACTGAAACTTTTGTTTTGTAGAATCTTATAATCTTTGTAGACCACATATGACAATCAATTTATTTAAGTATATTTGTGATTATCTTTCTTGAATGTTTGATAACATGTGACGTCACAACTTAATCAGCCTAAGACTGTGATTATTTTTTTACATTTTGTTCCTGTTTAAAATATTGGTGGATAATTTCTTGTATGATTTATGATTACAAGAACTGCTACGAATAGGCCATACATGTACCAAAAAAGTTAAATTTCAATAATACCGAAATGCGTTGAAACTGATTTTTTTAAGGTAAGGTAAGGTTAGGTATCATTATGCTATATTTGGATGATATGCAATACAGTTTCAGCGACATCTTTCGTTGTTAATATACGAATGTATGTATCATTATTGTGCTAGTAATATATGTTTGCCTGGCTGAAATTTTAGTTTGAAAGCAAGTGAAAAAGTATTAACATCTTCGATGATGTATTATAAGAATAACTAAAAGCATGAGAACAATTTCAGTATTTTATATACTGAACTATCATTGAGTTATTTGTATAATGGCAAAGATGTCACGATTTTTATATAACAGAATAATAACATTTCAGGATAAAGTATATTGCCACTGTTATGAATGAACACAAATGACATGACTCAGGTTTGTCACAGAAATACTTACCTCTCTCCTGATATCGAGGGAAAGTTGGAACAATATGACATAAAGATTGACCAACATAGTGAAAACATTGAAGATCGTGAGAAGTTATTGATTATAAAGTTAAAAAGGTTTAGCATCGATTTGAAAAATGCGCAATACAAATTGTGTGAACAGGAGAGAGAGATAAAATTATTACGCGTTCAATTAAAAAAGGAAGGCGGCTGTGATTATGTAATACCAGGAGTATGTGATTCAGAAACATTATATGATATTGAGAGGAATAATGTTTGTCAATATACGAGTTCTGCAAAGGAAGATACTGAAATGACAAAAATGGAAATGCACAAAATAATTGATAATCTGATAGAAGAAACGGAATCATTGAAACGTCAAATGAGTACCAAGGATATTGAAATTAGGCAACTTGGATTCAGATATAAACTATCAGATGACATCCTGAAAGAAAGTAAGTTAGGGAAGAGAACAAAATTCTGCAACGTTCTTTATGAAAAAGCTTATCTACAAGAACACATGGAATTTCTGCAGGAGGACAATCTAAAAAAGGATGAAGAACTCTTAAAAGCAAGACGTGAACTAAAAAGGGCACAGGAATGGAAAATGGATATGTCAGACAAGTGCACCATTAAAGCAAGACTTACAGCACACAAGCAAGAGATCAGAAGTCTTCAGGAAACAATTAAGCGTGTAGTATTCCTCAAAGATGAGATTCAAGTAGAATTGAATAAGTCACTACAAAAAGAGGCTGAGTTGCAGATAACTGTGTCACAGCTTGAAGATGAGAATAAGGAAAAAGAAAAAAAGATAAATATAATGACATACCGGCTGAATAGGAATATTGGAATCATTCATGATAACAAAGATGAAAGACATGCATTGAAAGAACTGAAACAGAGCAAACGTGAGATTGAATACGAAAGGGAAAAGACATTCACTAAACAAATGCAAATGAGTAAAATATTTGAAGAAAATGAACATTTAAAAAAAGAAATATTGAGAAAAGATAGAGACATACAAGAACTTACTGATTTCTCTAAAAGTACTGAGACACTGAAAAAAGAAACAGAAGCAAAAATGAGTGACATGCGAAGTGAAGCAAACAAGCAAACTGTATATCTTCAAGAACAATTAAAGCAATCACGTAATGAAATAGCTTCGCTCCGTGTAAATTGCAATAAACTTAAATATAGTAATCAGCAAAAAGATTTTCAGATATCTGAACTGAAGCATGAAACTGAACGGAATACCAAAACATTGCAGGAAAGAGAATCTGAAATGCAGAGGCTACTGAAAGATGCAAAATGTGAGCTTGAAACCTGTAAAAAAGAGATTGAAATGGAAAAAAATCAGTCTAAAATCGAAATGACTAAATTAGGTAGTGAAATTGAATACTGTTATTTGAAGATAAAGGAAAAAGAATCCGATTTAGTAAGACTGGGTGTCGAGTATAGAAATCGAGTTGAACTAAAAGAGCAAGAAGAACATAAACTTCGTGACATTATAAGCAGACACTTCAGGGATATAAAGAATCTTGAAAAAGAATTAGAGAAACGAAATGTTGAAATTTTTGCAAAAGAGAAAATGACACAACAAAAAGATGAATTGAAACAAGCGTTAAATCAGTCGCACGAGGTTGCTGTAAAAAAAGATTCTCTCAAACAGGCATTGGATAGGTCAGCTCAAATGGAAGAAGCATTACGTAAAACAGTAAATGAACTACGGATCGTTGGTCATTCATTGCAAATGCAAAAGGAAAACGCAGAGGAAAGATTGAAACATTTCGAAGAACAGATGGAATATGACAAAGAAAAGGTGTATACAATTAAACGTCAGATGTGTAAGGAAATTGAAGATTTGAAAAAAGAATTGACGGAAAAGGAAACAGCATTACAAGATATTCATATTCAGTATCACGACTCTGTGAAACTGCAGGAAGAAATGGAGATGAAACTAAATGGAGTAATCAGTCAAAAGGAGCTTGAAATTAAAGAAAAAAAATGTCAGATTACAGAATTAAAATGTCAGTTAAAGGAAATAACAGAAACATCACAGCAAAGGGAGTCTGAATTAAGAAAAATAAATAGTTCTTTGAAGTTGCAACTTAAGACTATGGAGAGAGATTTGAAGAAACTTACTCTGGATATTACATATGGAAACGAAAGAGCAAGAACAAATAAAAAGCGTATGGAGAAAATGAATGACGAAATTAAAAGCCTTCAACTAACATTGAAGGAAAAAGAAAGTAACAATAAAAATTTAAAAGATGATATTCATCAGATGAAAAAAGAAGAAACAAAATTAAATTCCATTGCTCACAAACAGAGGAATGAAATTAAAGATCTTAAAGGAAAAATAGAGGAAAAAGATTTAGAAGTTACACATGTTGATCAAAGTAAAGAACTTGAACTGTTTCAACAAGAATTAAATAAATCAAAAGAAGAAGAGCTTGACCTGCGAGAAATTAACCAAGTTCTACGGAATAGAAATGCTGAAATTGAAATGGAAGTTACTGATTTAAAAAAACAGGTGGATGAAATTTCAAAAACATCAAATCAGACAGAACATGAATTAAGAAATATCAATCTTTCTTTGGAACAGCAAGTTAAAAATTCAGAAATTAGATTGGAACAGCAACAGCTTGAAATCTCACATGAAAAAGAATTGACACTAACAAATCAAACACGTATCGAACAATTGAGCGAAGAAATAGAATGTTTAAAACTAACAATGAAGGAAAAAGATAAGACTTTGCAAAAATATCATGAACGATTTGAAGATGCCAATCAATGTAAGGAAGAAGCAGTTTCAAAACTGAATATAGTCGTCAACAAGCAGAAGAAAGAAATTCAACATCTTCAAGAAGAAGTTGAAAATAGGGATATGAAACTAGCTAGCGTTGATCAAGTTAATAAACGTAGTTATCATGTGCAACAAGCTTTAAATGAGTCACACGGAAAGGAGTCTGAATTAAGTAAAACTATCAATGCCCTACAAAGAGGTTATCAAGAAAAAGAAGATCAAATAAGTAACTTAAAGAGTCAAGTAAATGAATTGACAGATACATTCAACAAAAGAGAAGCAGAATTGAACATTATGAATCGTTCTTTGCAAACACAACTAAACACTACAAAAGAAGAACTAAGACAGCTACACAAAGATGTATCACACGACAAAGCATTAGTAAGCACAAATCAAAAGCATATGGTAGAAATGGGTAAAGAAATTAAAAAATTAAAACAAGATTTGGAGCAAAAAGAAATAACTTTGCAAGAACATAATGTTCAGTATGAGGCTTGTATTAAAATTAAGCAAGGGGAAGAATCGAAACTGAATGCAATTATCGAAGAACAAAAATGCAAAATTCAATCTTTAAAAGAAGACATTAGGGAAAAAAATATGGAAGTAAATAGTATAGAAAAAATTAAGAAACAAAAGGATCAGATTCAGGAAGCGTTTGATGCGCTTCGGGTAAAAGAAACTTCCCTTTGTAAAAGTAGCCGAGTTCTTGAAATCAAAAATAAAGAGAAAGACGAAGAAGTCACCGAATTAAAGCAACAGCTTGATGACCTGAGGAAAACATCGAATCAAAAGGAAAATGAATTAAAAAATAGCATTTCTTCTTTGAAACAGGAATTAAACATTAAAGAAACAGAATTGGGGCGAAAAGAGGTAGAACATTCAAATGTAAAAGCATTGATAAGCACGAAAGACAAGCATGATGCGACAATGGCTGGGGAAATCGATCGCTTAAAGGTAGAAGTGAAGCTTAAAGAAACACTGTTGCAAGAATTTAATGGCAAGTTAAAAGATGCTGTAAAAGTTAAAGAAGGAACAGAATCAAACCTGAAAGAAATCATTATTAAACAAAATGAAGATATTAATCATTTAAAAGCCAAAATTGAAATGCAAAATAATCAAAATGTCACCATTGATGAAGTAGAAAATCGTAGCAAACAAATTCAACAAGCATTAAATGAATCACACAAGAAAGAGGCTGAATTAGGTAGAACAATCGATATTCTACAAAGAAGAGACAAAGAAAACGAAGGTCAGATAAGAGAACTGAAAGATCAGATGAACGAATTGTCGAATACGTCTAAACGAAAGGAAAATCAATTACAAAGTATGATTTCCTCTTTGCAAACACAACTCAAAAATACAGAATCAAAATTGAAGGAGCTGCACCAAGAAAAGTTGCATGAAAAAGAATCATTAAGCACATATAAAAAACAAATGGTGGGATTAAATAAAGAAATCGAAAGTTTGAAACAGGAAGTAAAACTAAAAGACGCAAGAATACATGAGTATGATATCCAGTGTAAAGATGCTCTTAAAACTAAACAAGAAGCTGAATGGAAACTGAAAGAAATCATCAACAAACAAAACAATGAAATTCAACATCTGCAAAAACAAATTGAGAAAAAAGATATAGAAGCAAATGATATTGCGGAACTTAAGAAACATAATGAGGAAGTTCAACGAGCATTTAATGACCTATGTGAAAAAGAGGCTGATCTTCGTAAAAGTAACAAAGATCTACATTGTAGAAACAGGGAAAAAGAAGATGAAGTCAGAGAATTAAAGAAGCAACTGAGTGAAATGTTAAAAACAGTAAGTCAGAAGGAAAATGAATCACAAAATATTATCCATTCTATTAAACAGCAACTTAAGAATACAGAGGCAATCATGAGGCAACAACAGTTAGATATATCACAAGAAAAGAAATTGATGAGCACTAAAGACAAAGATATGGTAAAAATGACAGAAGAAATTAAAAGTTTGAAATTACAAGTGAAGCAAAAAGAATCAACGTTGCAAAAATGTAGCGAACAATATACAGATGCTGTTAAATTGAAGCAAGAAGCAGAATCGAAATTGAACGAAATTATCCACAATCACAAGACAGAAATTCGACATCTTCAAAGAGACATTGAGAGAAAAGATAATGAAATAGCAAGAATCGAACAAATAAATATACGTTACGAAAAGGTCAAGAACACATTAAATGAGTCACAAGAAAAGGAAGTAACATTTCGTGAAACTATAAAAGCACTTGAGAATAAAAATCAGGAAAATGAAAATAGAATTGCTGAATTGAAACGCAAACTTGACAAAACATCAGAAGAGTCTCATAAAATGGAAATTGAATTGAAAGAAACGAAACATTTATTGAATGGAAAAATTAAAAGTATAGAAACAGAAAAAGATCAATATAAACAAGATATTGCAAATGCAAAACAACTTTCAAAGGCTGCGCAGATAAAGATGTCTGAAATGGATACAAGAATTAACGATTTAACGAATAAATTGAAAAAGAAGGAAGAGGACCTACAAAAAGGAAAAGAAAACCTAAGCGGCATAATTGATTCACAAAAAGAGCAAATTCAACATCTTGAAAGGGAAGTTCAGAAGCGAGAAAGGAAGATGAAGTCTGTACAAATAGAAAAAGATAATGAACTGCAGGAAATGGAAAAAAATATGGTCGAATTGGAAAATCAAATGAAACATATGCTATCAAAATTACGTGACACGGAGGCTGAGTTAGATGAAACAAAATCAAGGTGATTAATTATGTTAATTCATTAGTTCAATCGTTTACATTATACTTTGAATATCCTTTGTTATAAAACAGGAAGTAATACAATTAAAACCAAACGGGTGAAATGAATTTTTTTATGATTACGAAAAGTTTCTGATTATGTTTAAATATACATTTTTTTACACTTTTTTGAAGGCTGAGTCGCGTAATGGGAGACAGATTGACTGACAACAACCCAAATATAACCGATTTAAGTGACAGAAATCGTCCTACAAAAATAGCCGAGAAATGTGCTGAGTTGTACGATAATGAATGGACAGATGCCTTTGATGTTTTAGAAAAGCTATTCCGGACCGAGGAGGCTGCGATTGAAGCACTTTTGCTTATTTTACAAGTAGATTATTTTTTTATTTTTATTTTTATTTTCATTTGTATCCTTCAATATGCTTTACTTCAATGCACTTTATTACATGTATAAACATTATCAAATAAAATATGATAAACAAGATCAACAAGGAAAGGCGGCGTTCAATGAACGCAACCCCCACACGACCCAGCAACAAGAACCAATGGCAAGGAGCCCAGGAGGACCCCAAACAAAAACAGGACAGGGCAAAGACAGAGCACGGACAGGTTAATGATTAAATGATAATTAATTTAATTAACTGATCAGGAATTCAAAGAAAACAAAAATAGGCCCACAAAGGGGAAGGGGACAGGAGACCGGGGGGAAGGGGGTGGGGAGTAACCAAAGAAATAAAAACTAGAAGCAATGGGGAAGATACTTACCGTAGACGAGAAAACAACAAGGGACACAAGCAAAAGTGTCACCAAAACAGTATGAAACAACATAAGACATACATCTGAGGAACATAGTGGGGCGCCGCCTTGGAACGGTCAGCAGCATAATAATGACTGCTGGGGAGTTTAAACCGGTTAATGGTGCACCCAAACCTCGCTTCTTAGCCCCACCAATGATCCTATAAACGAGACAGTGTAAATAAAATGAATCCCGCCAAGTGAAATTCTAAACAGTTGTCATGGTTACAAAAAGGTTAAATAAGTAAAACACTAAAATGATCATGTAGAAACATATAAAAGTAAACCCAACGACCATAACAAAAGTACTCAATGTCCTAAAGGAAGACAGAGCAACAAGAAAATCACCTACAAGGGCCCGACGAAGCAAGGCAGAAGACGAACATTAAGACAATTCAGTCCCAAAGGGCTTTACGAACTATACTGCTTACAATGTAGTCGAAATTATCAAAATATATATGATATGAACATACACTTTGTAATTGCAAGAACCTGTTTATTGATTGCAATGGATACAATATGTAGAAAAAGATGCACCATATGAAGATATTGTTTTAGTTGATACTTTTTACTCTATTTTAAGCGTATGAAGACACACATTTGTCATGTTGCTTCACTCTCAATTGATTTTTTAAACGAGCTGAGTAAATCAATATTAAAATACAAGTTCATACTATTAAATATTATACTGAATTTTACTGTGGTATTACATTTTGTTATACTTAAGTACATCATTCATAGTAAACTTGCATTAAACATTTTCTACTTAACATTTCAGAACGCCATGCATTTCTGTAAGACAATGGCACAGCGTCAGATAGAGTTTATAGAGCGAGAAATGTATTTCGCAGATGAAAAAGTATGTTTATTAATTGACAATATTTAGTTGTAAAATTGTTAAAAGTTACCATACGTGTTCTAGAGTTAAGTCTTAATAAGTAATCATAAAATTGTATGACAGCAATAACAATTGAATGCACGCGGTTGTATTGGCTCTGTGTTAGGTAGGTGCAATTTAACGTTGAGCGAAAATATTTTCAGATAATAAGGACCAAAAAGTCATTTTTTCACGTTATTATGAATTATATATTTAATCTAATATTACAGATTATATAAGTTTTTTATGTTTAACTTGATTATCAGTTGAAGATTTAATGAGTATCTTTAAAAGATAATTACACGATTTCTTTGTCTAAATGTAAGTACCATTAATATTTTAGGAAAAAATTGCAGTATCATCAGATATTCAAAAATTGATTAAAGACAGACGTAAAGCTACGGCAACTGCTGTTGTTGGAAATCTTAAAAAGGTAATGTAATAGTTTTGCAATTTGATTGCGTCGATGTTATAATCATCGGCTAGTATAGTCCACAATATTTTAGGTCAGTATGATATAGGATGTTTTTAAACACAGCAAGACGTGGGGCGTCCGTGACGTCGTAAAAAAACCTTTATCTCCCTCTAACTGCTGTAGGTTCGAACCGCGCCAGCGCCTTTAGCTTTTTTTATGTGAGAAAGCCATCTAGCTAGCTTACGGAACGTATGTGGTTCTCCTGAGGCGGCCGTTAGTGCCTGAAATAATGCACGGAGGGGCATCTGAAGTCTTCATCAACCATCAAAACCAGAAAAGTTGCCATATGCCTAATTCTGTTACCCCCCCCCCACCCCCCACCAAAAAAAAAAAAAAATAAATAAATAAATAAAAAATGACGGACCTTATTACATGTTTTACCTATGATTGCTTGTAAATCTTCATAAACATTGCAAAATTAAGTGAATTCGACCAGAAATCAGTTTTAGCTCCCTTTACTAAGAATTTCCATAATAAACCCAGGATTTTATCATTGTGTCCTTTTTATCATGTTCGTTTCTTGTAGATATATTTTGCTGAACTGAAGCAATCGAAAGATAAAATAATGAGAGCTGCCTTAGACGTTGAACCGTATACATCAGAATGTATCGAAATCTGCTGGTTTATGCTGGTTTGTATATTTTCACATGGATTCGTTTTCCTCTCTCAGAATTTTACAGAATGTACGAAAAAGGTTTATTAGAAATATGATTTATTTCATAGATTAAAATGGAAATTGATGTTACGGTTAAGTTGTGCAGGTGTATATTAATGTCAAAAGGAACCTTTATATTTGTATTGTAACATGAAACTATATTTTACACGATACGACGTCGATTGCTTTGGTCGACATGACAAAACACTGAAAATATGTATTATTACCCTAGTCGTTATATATTTTAATGTATTTAATCAATTTTGTTTACCAAATAATATCGAGTCGAATATCTATGTACCATATTATATTAATTATTGTAGCAAACCATATTTAGTTGATTTGGAATTATCAACACTAATTTATATTATCATCCATATATATATTTTACAGATACAGGATCCTCCTGTTGTTTTCGCTCCTTTGCCAATTAAAGGATCGAGTTTCGACACTAACTTTTACAAACCCTATACCAAAAGCGGGACTCATGTCGACTTCGCTGTATGGCCTGCCTTATTACTGCATGACGGAGGTCCAATCCTAGCAAAAGGAGTGGCCCAAGGGTACGGAAACAAATAAGTTATGACTGTAATGTAGGAATGAATCGCAAAATATTAAAATCTTGTGTATATACACAAATGTATGTCAAACGTGTCTATAGAACGATTCTATTACAGTAACTTTAGAATTGCACAATATATCATTACTTACTATAATGATGGATATATCCGCAGATCAACAAATTAACTACTGTTTAACTTAAATTTACTTTGTTTATTGATGTGTTGTTGTTTTTTGTTTGAAATTATCATTAATTTCACATCCATGGAATTATTTTTTCTTGAATTGTTGTTGAATTATATTGTGTATTGGAAGGATAGACATATTTACTAATTTTGTATGCTGAAATAGAATTCATTTCTGAAACACAAATTGTATATACTTTGTTTATTGATGTGTTGTTGTTTTTTGTTTGAAATTATCATTAATTTCACATCCATGCAATTATTTTTCTTGAAACATTCATCTTCATCTTTAGATTTAGATAGATACCTTTTGTTTTTAATATTGAGAATTTTTCCCATGTTTAAAGGCTTTTTCTTATGTTTGGTAGGAATAGTTATTGTGAATTGGAAAGATAAACATATTTACTAATTTTGTATGCTGAAATAGAATTCATTTCTCAAACATATATTGTATATTAATTTGTCATAGTGGTGATGTAGCTACTGTTAGTAGAAATATAATACATGCATATTAAACAGTTTTTATGATACCTCAAGTTATGTTATTGTTATACATTTTATGTCTCTATGAAGAAATGCTTTGCATTGATGTCAGTGAAAGTATTATTATTGTTTACCTGTTCCGATTTTCCAAATGGAATATTCATCCTCAGCGGTTATTGTGTGTCTCATACTGAGTATTTTAATGTTTTACTGATATATACTTTTTATATGACCATTTTTGTTACGCAAAGAACTTTTTGACTATCATATTTGTTATACATTTAAAGAGAAGTACGTCGATCGTTTTGTTGCCAACACCTTTAGAAGCATTTGGCTACAATTGTATTGTTTATTTATTGTTTAATTTTTGTGTATTGAACAGACCAATCTTTTGTTTTCTTTTCTTTTGTTCATAATTGCATACAGAGTAAAAGAGATGAAGTATCATCACAGAAACTTCAGAGAGTAATAGTAATCCAACAATAATATATAAAATCTATGGTTTAAGTAAAAAGGAAACACATCTATAATTATCTAATTTGCGTTATATTGTTTTGTCATTGTATATACACGTTTTTGTTGTTTAAGGAATACATTGAATAGTTATTTGTAAAGTAGGACCTACAATTCTCTATACAAAATAAACTTAAACAAATGTGATATACCTTATCAGTTGACTTGTAAAAGAATACACCTATGTCACTATCTCGGTCGAATTATCACTTTTATTTTGTAATCAAAATATACCTTAAATAAATACACTTTTGTTATTTATTTATGACATTATAGTGCTACAATTGTAATATTTTTAATCAATATAGGATCTAGAATTCTCCACATACACACTCAAGTAAAGATATACAAGATTTTTAACAGCTTTATATTTTACTTCTTATAAAGACGTCGGTTAGAGAAACCCGTAAGTGTGTTATCTAGATAATCATAAATAAGATCAACTGATATTTATTTCATGTGACAAGTGACTGACATTCTGATAAACCCAGTTTCTGATAACCCAATTTTAAATACAAATTGTCAAGTACCAGATAAAATCAGCTTTGCTCTCTATATCTGTTTCAAGTTCTTATTGTTATATAACAATGAATTATTAGTTATTTCTACGTTTGTTATCAAATGAGCATGATCAAAATTGTGTCTATCTGTTTATAATGAAAAGTGGAGCGTGTACACAATGTTTGCACTATACCCAGAAAATACTCTACACTTTGAAGAATAGAATAAATTATGCATATTAAATGATGTGTTTGTTATACGTATGCACACATGTATCTTACTATGATTTTTGATGGGCGTTTTACTAAATAAACCTACTTGGTCTGGATCAGTAGGTATCTTGGTGTGTTTGAGCACTTCCGAACAAAAGAGAAAGAGAATGAACTATCACATCTATAAAACTACAAAGAGGACCGAAAGGCGAAAACCGTCAAATTGATACAAATATGCATTCTCAAGCGAACATTAATCTTTGAGAAAATTTTAGAAACTTCCGGGGTTCCAACGGTTGATAATGAAGGGAGTAATACAGATATAGAGTTGGTTAAATATCTCAGGTACGGCTGCTATAGAATATATAATTACTCCAAAAACAGTGGTAGAAATGCGCTAGCCAAAGTCGTTTAACTGTAAGAAGTTTCTTACTTTGTTTAAGCATATCGTCTTAAAGCTCATATGTCAACATTTACCAAAATAGCAAAATTACAACAAAACCTCGGGTCAATGTTAATAGTAGCAATTAAGATTAAATTGTAAATATGTTATTACTTCATTACATTATCATGACATTATAAAGCATAGAATGTATGTTGTAAAGCACAAAGTTATGTGTTTTTTTGTATAATATTATAAAGTTATAGATACCTTTTGATAGTTTAATGTGTAAAAGGTCATAAATCTTGGGCTTTCTTTTTTATTTAAATTAAACTGTTTTATTTGATTCTTAAAACAAACGTACCTTCAAATTCTCTTTACTTGTTTAGACTATTAAGTTTGTATATTTTTACAAAAGATAAATGAAATCGTTGTACGTATGATGTGCTTTGATATCGTCTGAAATACATGTATGGTTCTGATGAAAGTGAAGTGAATGCTGATGTTAGAGACCTCTGAAAAGGTTTACCCTTGCTGTAGTTGCTGCATTTTACTAGTTTCATAAAATCAATTGAAAAGTCTCTCTTTATCTGTTTAAAATCAATTGCATTATTTATTGTAAGTATTTGGCCTAAGTTATTATGCTAGCATAGCAAGGCATATACATGTTGTCTTTTGCAGTTATACGCAAACTTATTTCTGCAATTTTGTCACCTCTTACGACGTAATTCTTATAACACTTTTATAACAACGATCGCAAAGTATTTTTGCCGTGTTTAATACTGAATGCAACAATTAATAAGCCCCTGCCATATAGGGGTGAGGCCTCATTCATGACTTGAAATCGTTTAACTTTGTGAATTTACTTTTGTCATATTAAATATATTACTGTGTAAACGTATTCTTGTAGTTCTACTGGAAACACGTTTTCTTTAACTCTATTTTCTGTATTCTAGTTTACAATTTCAGTTGTATATACAATTGTCTCGTCTCAGATATATAAGTGTGCCAATCTGTTTATTCAATTTGTAAATGAGAGATAACCCCAATAAGGTAATAGCAGACGACAGGTTCATAATGATCCGAATGATTCGACAAACTTGATAAAGTAATAGCAGCCGACATATTAAACATGCACGAAATAGTTTGAACAAATCTCGTTAATTAATAGCAGTCGACAGGTTGAGTTTCAGTTTTTATTAAACCAAGGCATATAATATGCAACTGGTTATAACAACAAACAAACAGAAAAATAACAGTCAAAAATCACTAATATCACAATATACAAATACCATTATGAGTAGCTTAATAAACAAAAAGGAGATCATAGTGTTCATTTCAAGTTCTGAATTCAATACAACATAAATTTTATATTGTAACAAATGAGAACGGAGAATGAGAAGTATTACTTATCTAAATTTTAACATAATGTTTTTAGAAAATAAAGATAATTTTAGAAGAATATTTTTATCACAACTATTCATTAATGTGTCAAGTTTAAAAATATTGGGATGAGTGTAAAACCTGGGAAGAAGAGATTTACGTCTTATGTCATTAAAGTACGAACATTCAAATAAGTAGTGAAATTCATCACCAATAGCTTGATACGGACATAAGGAACAGACCCTATTATTATGATCAATTGCAAATGTCTGCCTTTTTCGATTGGTAATAGGTGATTCATTGTTCTAAATTTACAGAAATATTTGCCTATGTCAAAAGGAAGTACATCTAGATATTTTTTCAAAACAATGAGTATTTTTATATGTACGATACACTAAACACTTAGAGGATGTATCAATAGTACAATGCCAATCTTGTAAAAATTGATCTTGTAGTCTAAGCTTCACAACATTTTTAAAGTGATTAATATTATCTACCTTCTGTAAATGAAAATATTCTGACATGCCAAGATTACTAAGTGTTTCTTTCACAAAATTTATCCATTTAGAATTAACAATATTCCTAGAGGACAAAGACAACATTGTTTTTATAAAGAAGTTTACATATCTTATTTTCCTTAGCATTTATAATTTTACTCCAGAAAACACAAAACTCTTGCTTTCACTTGTAAGGCTAATGGGAATATGCCTAACTCACCATAAACCATACAATTAGGTGTAGAAGCTTTTAAATTCAAAATAAATTTACAAAAATACAACTGAAATTTCTCTAGAATTTGAAACTTGTTCGAATCCCAAAACTTCACTTCCATAAAGAAGAATAGGTACAACCATAGAGTTAAATAAATGTAGTTGCAAAGAAATTGGTAAACACAATTTACGTGACTTTTGGATCACAGAAAACATTGCTCTTCTAGCATTATCAACAAGAATTTTCTTTGATTTCAAACATTTACCATTATAATTTAAAAGTACTCCAAGGTAAGTAAGGTTATCTACCAAATCAAGCTTTTTACCATTGTACATGAAATCAAAGTCATCCTTAGGTTTTGACTTACTAAAAACCACTACTTTAGTCTTAGCTTCATTAACAACAAGATTCCATATATTACAGTACTCACTCATAGCATTTAAGGCATCTTGCAAATCAGTTTTGCTTTCTGCTAAAAGCACTGTATCATCAGCATATAAGAAAAGAAAAAAAATGACATAAACATCAATGACATCGTCACTAAGACATTCCCGAGTTGCGTTAGAGATATTTACAAGTCCTGTATATTTATTAGATACAAATTCTGACAAATCGTTCAAAAAGATAGAAAACAAGATTGGTGAAAGATTTTCACCTTGACGTACACCGGTAAAACTACTTAAGAAACTAGTCAACTCACGACGATAAGTAAATTGGTTCTAACAGAAGCAGACGACATTTTGGTAATGATCAAAATGGTTCGAATAAACTTCGTCAATTATAAGCAGGCGATATTTGGTTATAATTAAAATGGTTCAAATAAACTTCAAGTATTAGCAGACGACAGTTTTATTATGTCAAATGCTTCGAACAAACTTTGGCATGTTTCAGCAGACGACAGTTTGGATATAATCAAAATGGTTAGAATAAATTTCGTCAATTATAAGCAGGCGATAGTTTGGTTATAATCAAAATGGTTCGAATATACTTCAAGTATTAGCAGACGACAGTTTGTTATGTCAAATGGTTCATGTTTTAGCAGACGACCGTTTGGTTATAATCAAAATGTTTCGAATAAACTTCGTCAAATATTAGCAAACGATAGTTCGAATAAACTTCAAGTATTATCAGACGCAAGTTAGTTAAAAATCACAATGGTTCGAATAAACGTCAAGTATTAGCAGACGACAGTATGATGATTATCAAAATGGTTCGAATAAACATTGTCATTAAACGAAGACAACATGACTTTAAATGTATCATAAGCATGATAAGTGACAATATGTACACAAGACAAAAGCTGGGATTTTTTAAGAACTTAAATAACATCAAACAAATGCATGTTTGGAATAATGCCGTGACTTTAAAATACAAAACTACTAAAGTACTAAAATCAAAGAAGAATTTAATTCCAAATTAAAACTGTAGTAAATTTATAAAATGAGAAATGAGAAACCCGGATATATTTTTTCTCCTCCGGTGGGCCGCACAGGTTTTTGGCCGACTTTCTTAGAGTAAAATATGCAATTTGGTTGCCATTGATACACTGTCAATGTAGATCTGAAATGCTTTAAGAGTTTTCGAAAATATTTTGTGAAATAGCAACGAGCTTGCTTATGCGAAACAAGCCAAAAAAGGCCACCAAAAATAGTGCACGAAAAAGGCGAGTTTCGTACCCAGAGGAAAAAACATCATGAAGTGCAGTGCAAAGGTTTTCCAACATTTCAATAGTTATATTAAGCAGAAACCTTCAATCAAAAGTATGGGTTAAGGGGCATATTATTTGCAGTGCACTGCTTTAATCAACAATGCTAGGCATACACGTTCGAATTTTCAAAAGGAACACTTTACATGTCTGGAACTTTCATCCTCCACAAAACGCAGCTTTCAATTTGACCCCCCCCCCTTTTAAACGATTCGCCTTACGTGTGCCATACAACACAAAGTATACGGATACGTTATGTAAGAATGTCGACTGTCGAGTGTCATGGTTGAATAAAAATGAAAATGTACACCTTATATTAATTCACATTTGCTTATTAAAGTCCATTTCTTGTTGTTTATGCAAACAGAAATATGTATCACTAAGTCAAATGATGTAGTCATTCAAATCACTGCTTCAGTTGTGTAGGGTAAAACTGATTCTTTTCGTTTAATATTATAAATGCAGTATTGTGCTTGTTAAAAATATTATTACAAGTCAGAGAAAACTTATTAATTAATCCGTGTGTGCTTTGTATAAATTTGCTTAAATATGTTATTTTGAAACGAGTAAGATTTTTTTTTGAAAGATGAAACTTGTGCTCCGTAACGTTTAAATAATGAGTTCAGCATTTTAGATTATGGATTGTTTTACTTGAATACATGATCTATCTAGATATATTAAAGTTCAATCTCATAAAAACGTATTTCACTGCACTGGTTTCAATATGTAAAATTATAATGCAATCAATATTTTGTTCATTATTAAACTTGTTAACAAAAGGGTTTGAAATATAATCTGTTTTGTAAATCTATACCTAAATTATACGATTTATTTGGCAGTTGTCACGTAGACACGGTCCAAACAAGAATAAAAATAGAAAGGAAGTTCATTTTGTTTTAAATTTATTACGTTTTATGATTTAACACAGTTGAGCCTGTACACTTGTTCGGTCTTAACATTGGCTGGCTCTAGAATGACTTTGTTGTAAGTACAATTTGATGTTTATAAGTTGATTATTAGAAGACATTGTTATAAATTACCTTTGTTTAAGGCTCATATACTTTCATTTGTCTGTTTCTACGTTTAGTCAATGATATCAAATTCAAAAGTATCGTATCACGGATGGAATGAAAACAATTTTTACTATATCATTTAAAGCGTTCGTACATTTCATTTTAGTTAAGTTAACAATAAAAAAAACTACTGCAAATATTTCAATTACATGATGCGTTTTTTAAAGTAGTGGAAAGATATATGTTTCGTTGACGGGTGGTATCATAGTTACGTGCGCCATTACACTGTAGATTATAAAAAATTACGATCTTTCTTTTTGATTGATAATGATGGCTTAAAGATTATAAGCTCGGAAGTGGATTATTGATTTTTAAAGTTGATAAAGAAATAATGTTCAGGCTAATTCATATTGAAAATATGTTAAGATATTTTTTACATTATTCAAAATCATTTCTGAATCAATGTACGCTCGAAAGTCCACGATTGCTTTCAAAAGAAGCTAAGTGCGCCATTTGGAAATTTATATTTAGTAGATAATTTTTTACATGGCATCGTTTCAATCTGAAATTTGTAAATATCTTAAACGTTGTTATCTGCTTGTTGAAGTGCACCTTTAAACTAAAGTACAAATCACACATTCCAGCGTAAATCTAATATATTTTCATCCATTTGAAAGTAAGTGTGACGGCAGAAGTTTTTAGTGTTTACATAAAATAATGCATATTTACAAGCGAAAACATAATGATCGGCGATTTAAATGATGTTTTATTCGTTCGCTGTATTGGCACTTAATTGAAATAAAATCGGTAGAGTCTATTAATTAGAGCGATTTGTAAATGTTTATGTTTTAACTTAAAATATTTATCAAAGACAAATCTCAATTATGAAAAATGATCCCACTTACATAATTACAAAGTAATTATTTGTTCACAACGGAATAGATATCGAAATGAAAAAAGCATCATAATGTTGTTAACCCTTAACCTGCTGGGAATGGAACCGTTACTAATGAACATTTTCAACAGGAATAGAGAAAGGTAGCATGTACATCCGTTCTACAGGCTTTAAGCTAATATTTGTAGCTTGTTTTTTTCATGCTGGAAGGCACATAAGTTTTGGGCAAGGACTGTTATAAAATTTAATTAGGAATTTCGGGAAAAATTGTATTTAACACTTCCATCGAAATGGCTTTTTACACGTGTCATTTCAATCTCTCAAATAATCAATAATAATGTTATTTTCAAACCGAAAGTAGTCGTTTTGAAATGCGAAAGTAGCCTTTAGTTAAACGCAACGATATTAAATGAATTATTATATTTTAAACTTGGGATTGGGTTGTTGGAACCATGTAATATAAGTACTTATTAATACTACAGACTACTTTTCAAAGGCAAGTATAAAGTTTACAGCTATCTTATAGGAAGCTTATTTAAATCGGCCGGTGAATGGTTTTTGACCCATTTTACTATTGTTTTTTATTTTCATTACTGTCAAACCGTTATAGGCCTACCTTTTTAAATTGAAACTCGCGTGCTGGTTGCACACCACACCGAGCGGATAAGGGTTGAGCCTATGTGTGCCCAAGCATATAGAAGCACTCACGGCCAGAAGAGACAGAACAATAATTGAACGATGTTTAAAAATTGTGACAGTTCTGTGACCCTGGACAGTGATTAATAGGGCGGATAATGCGCTTTAATTTTTCAAGATTTATGTGGCTACACGGCAAAAAAGAAACAACTAATTTCTGGGAAAAATAATGTTTTTTAATCGGATTAGAAAAAAATAAATAAAAAGGGTACTAAAGAGAATAGAGAGAGAAATTGGGGGCTAAGGTAAAACTAAATATAATGTGTTCTAAAAACCCGTGTCCCTTAACAAGCACACCAGAAGGCAAGAGTTATAATCTTCGTCAGTAATTTGTACATTTTTTGGTCTTGCTTAATTATTGTTGACAATTTTTTAAAAAACATTCATTATTTCACCTTAAACATTGCTTAAATTGGGCATGGCTTCAAGTTCAAAGCATTTGTTTGACTATGGTTTCTTCATTCAGGTTTTCGAATAACAAGTTTATATATAGGTTGTACACGAAGACTTCGTACAGAAAAAAAGATCGTAACATTTTTCAAAAATTAAACCCGAATTTTTTTTTATTGGGTATTCATGAATTTAAAAGAAAGTAATAATGTACAATATATGGAGAAAATCTAAATTAATTCTCTAGGCATGTAGCTTAAATATTGGGTTATTTAAAAACGGTAATGACGCCAACCATTTTTGAGACATACACCGGCATGCTAAGCGTTGTTCACAACCCTTTTAAACCCTTTTACAGTTGGAAAGCGCTTAAGGTTTCCTTCTTAAACGGTCAATGGTGGCAATTCCCTTACTGGAGTATTCTTCATGATCGTTTTTTCTGACCTCTGCTTCGTCGGGCACTTGTAGTTGATTTTCCTGATGCTCTGTCTCCCTTACAGACATTGAGTACTTTTGTTTTAGTCACTGGGGCTTACGGTTATATGTATCTACATGATCTTTTCTGTGTTTTACTTATTTCACCTTTTGTAACCATAACATCTGTTAGAATATCTCTTGGCGAGGATTCATTTTATTTACACAATGGTTTTTTCGTTTAAAAAAGGAACATGGTGGGACAAAGAAGTGAGGTTTTGGGGTGGCACCATTAACCGGTTTAAACTCTCCCAATAGTTACTTATGCTGCTGACCGTCCTTCCAAGTGGCTGCCAGCCGCCCCTCTTGGTGTTCCCCAGATGTATGTCCTGTGTTGTTTTTATAATATTAAATTGCGTGCACTTTTTGTGTCCCTTTTCGTGAGAATTTCTAATCTACGGTAAGTAATCTCTCCCTTTTGCCCCTAAGTTTTCTTTTTTATATTTTGCCACCTTTTCTGTTGAGTCTCGAGCACTTTCCTCTGGTGTTCCATTTTTACTTTGTGGTGCCGATTAATTATCAACTATTTGTTTTCTTTAATTACCTTGCCGGTTACTGTCTTTTTAAGTATTATTAAGGTGGTTGTCCTGTCCGTGTTCTGTCCCAATTTTATTTGGGGTACTCCAGGGCTCCTTATAGCTGATTATTGTTGCTGGGTCGTGTTGGGGTTGAGTTTATTGAACGACGCCTTTCCTTGTTGGTATTATTAATCATATTTTCTTTTTGTTACATAACAAATCTGATAGCACATTTTTTCTTATCAGATTCTGACAAAATTGTTGCATTATTTCACTCAACGAATTTTCTGTTTCTGAAAAGCTGAGTCCGTGTTGCAACAGATAATTTTGCAAATTCCAAATTCCAAATCTGTTTTAATGTAAAGAGTTTTACTCTCAGTCCCGTTGTCCAGGTGTTTCTCTCTTTATTTACAGTCTCTTTTTTCCTCAGTTTCTGGCGTTTTTAACTTTATCTTTGGTTTTGTCTATGTACACCATCTTGCTCAGTACTTATTTCTGTCTCCCAAAATTTTTATTGTTTTTGCCTTCTCCGTCTATCTTACCTTCCGCTCTCCGGGGACAGAAATGGTGTGGCTAGAGGAACAATAGGTAACTGTTCTTTCTCTTTGATGCCATTCATTCCGTAATGCTTTTATGTGGTTATTTTTTTTTGTGTGGCTAAAAAGAACAAAAGACAGAACAATATAGTAGCCGCATTATTACTGTCCCGTTAGAACGTCCGATTGTCCGTCCGGTTGTCCATCCATCTGTCCGCATTAAACTTGTCCGCCCTTCACAGGTCAAACAACTGGTGATATTTCAACCAAACTTTACAGAAGTGATCAGTACCATCTTAAGTTGTGCACATCACCCAAATGTTCGGCTTTGCTGCACAAAATTGCCGCCAGAGCTAAAAATAGAATATTATTGTCTGGCCTTCACGGGTCAAACTAAAAGTGGGATATCAACTAAACTTTACAGGTGTGATCAGTACCATCCCTAGTTGTGCACATCACCAGCACGTTAGGCTTTCCTGCACGAAATGGCCGTCAGAGCTGTAAATAGAGAATCTTGTCCGTCTTTTAGAGGTGGAGCTACTGTTTTCTTCCGGCAACTTCAAAGTTTCTTCTAGGTTCATCCTCCTTTTGAACATGCCTTTAAAAATAACACGGAAGTCAAAATAATACTTCGCCGCAGCCTCTTGTTTAAACACTGATCCTAAAAGTTAATTTATAGTTGAAATAAAATAAATTCATGTTACTTTTCTCTAAAATATTAGTTTATGTCATATACAGATTAGGAATAGAAATGTTTGGCATACTATTTTGAAATACAACTGATATTATTCAACAGTACACATTTTATGCAAGAAATTAAGTCTAAACCAGATGAAAGACAGCAATATGTACTTCCTTGTGTTAGATGAAATCTTCTATACTTTTTTTATCTGAAAACCCTTAAAAAAAAAGGTTCCAACAAATTAATAGGGAAACCCGCCCAAAATGTTTTTTTCTTACTGGAAAAGGGAAAAAAATTTTTGCCCGGTAAATTTAACCCAAATATTTGCCAGGCACGGTTGTATATAAAATCATGGGGTTTCAGCTTGCCCTGAAATTTACAGATAAAATGTAATAAATTTATTTAATATAGCTAAATTATAAGCTTACTTAACCGAAGAAATACTTTTATTTGATCCCCACTTAAACATGTCCATTTATGAGATAAATTTAATTGCTTTGTGCGAAGGACTTGAGTTTAAAACTGGGAACAATGGATAACTAACAAAATAACTGATAATTGAAACAATGTTGTTTCTGGGATATATCTAAACATTTGAAATGGCCTAGCAGAAACACGTTTGGTGATGGTATAATTATGCAGCACTGAAAATTTACTTATCCTACCGTATCAACAAAAAATTACCGTTATTATCCGACAACGCACCCACTTTCTTTATTTCTTATTCAGATTTTATTTCCTAAATTAAAATATAACGAATATTTACACAATGCTGCTATT